TAGTATTACGTATATGACTCTATGTAATAAGAAGTAATTGAAATAATATTGTTATTCAATGAATGAGAATATGATTAGTATTTGATTTAATAAATTTTGTTTGATTACCAGAGATTTGCTCTCTGATAAGACATAGTACAATTATGTATTACGGTATGTAATATGAACTATTAAAACTTATACAGAATAGATATTTACATGTACATTCATACACTATTGTATGCATACATTTTTTCTATTATATTACGTACACGCTTATATCTTATAAAATTAAATTAATAAATTCGATAATCGAAAATAATCGATTTCGGTATAGTACAGTATAGTCGATACTCAAAGCTCAAACATTCATTTGCAGTCGTATTTTTACTTTTTACCTGTATGTATGTGACTATAGTTGTAAAAATTTGCTGTCACGAGAATTAGCAAACGTTTCATTGTTCCTTCATAAGGGAGGGGTCATTTTAAAAAAATTTTGCACCAAGCAATTAACAAAATGATTCTCGAAAAGGTTATTAGTGGTAACATTTTCCGGAAAGTTAGACAGTTAGGTAAGTACATTTAGAATTTAGGAAACTGTTCATAAGTCCTTTTCGTTTACATAATCTTACTAAAATCATTTGTATACATAATCGTATTGGCAAGAACTTCTTATTATTCTCATTTAATCTAATAATATATGTTAGTGTAATAATAGTACACAATAAAATTTGACATAAAAAAATATATAACATTTAGAAAAATATTAAATGATGAAAAGGAAAATAGACAAATATATATTTGTAATATTCTAATTCTCAATAAATTTTCAAAGTTTACAAAATTACTTTATTCTTATTCTAATGATACTTCTGCTGTCTCATCAACATAATCAAAGAAATTTTCTTTATATTGTGCTTTATGTTTATGTTCCCAGAATCTCTTGCTAAAACTAATGTATTTTCAAACTCTTGCAAACCACCTCAGTTTGCTAGATCATTAACAAGTTTATCTGGTATTAATCGATGTTTAAATTCTAATGCAATATATAATGGTGGTAATCGTTTTCTGACAAAGGTAATAAACTTTTCTAATATTATTTTAAATGCATGGAGTTTGTGAAATAATGATTGAATTTATAGTTCCCAAAGGTAACAGCTGGTGCATTACAACAAAGTCGTAATGCGGCTACCACGGGTGATCATGTACGACTATGGATTATTGAAAGAGTAGTATCTGTGGCACTGCCAATTATAATTCCTGCTGCTTTAATAATGGAAAATTCAATCCTTGATGCTGTTATGTCTATATTAGTTGTAATGCATGCTCATTGGTAAGTAAGGAAACGTAAGAATCAAGTAGATATTAAAAAGTGTATTGTTTATAGGGGTTTAGAAGCTGTTATCGTGGACTATGCCCGTCCCATTGTTGTAGGACCAGTACTACCAAAGGTTTTGCATATCGCATTGATTTTGCTTTCTGCAGGAACTCTGGCTGGTTTACTTGTACTGATACATAATGGTCCAGGCGTTTCAACAGCTGTTAAGAATTTCTGGGCAATTGGTAAACCCAAAGAAAAAACAACAACACCATCATAGTAATTATCATTGCCAGCTTTATTTAGGCTAATTTAGGACCCTATAATTTAATATCTTGTAATGTATACAAAAATAAATTATATATCTTCAAATCTCATATTGCAATATTTGAAAACATGAAATATAAATACAACTCATTACGTAACATATGTTCTAACATGTGTTTAAACATAGGAATACATTTTAAAAGAGCTTGCAGATGTTCATGATTAAACAATTAAGATTCAGTTTTGGTCCAATTTAGCAACATTATCAATGAAAGTTGCAAGTTTAACATCCCTTTGTGATAGACCATTCACATCATGGGATGAGAGAGTGATTTCCACTTTATTATAAACATTAAACCATTCTGGATGGTGATCCATTTTCTCTGCTTGCATTGCCACTCTAGTCATAAATCCAAAAGCCTACCAATGAAATTAGATAAAAAGATATATTTTTCATGATAGCAATTGTTGTTAGCAATATTAAATATAATATCATTATTGTAAGACAAACCTGATTGAAATTTTTAAATAAAAACTCCTTGCAAATGGCATCCCTATTTGTTTTAACAGCCCAACCATTAGTCAATAATGGTTTTAAATTGTTGTCTCTTTCTTCTTGCGTAAGTTTTCCCTAAGAAATAATAGATTAGTAAGAATTTAAATATTTAAAATATAAAAGGTTCAATTTCTCAATGAAGGTCGATAGTGACGGGAGAACCCGATCAATACGATCAGGAAACAGTTCGATCGTTTTTCAGTGTGTAACATATGATACGAAAAAGTTTGCATTAGTCAATAAACATTAATTATTCCGACTATCCACAAATATATTAATTAATTTCGTTAGAATTTTTATATAATGTTGATTTTTTCTATACAATAGAAACTAGATCAATCGTGCAATAATTAATTTAGAATCTCAACCACTTGTTACACCCACATATGTGGAATTGTGTTCATTCACACGATATTATTTAACGCCATAGTTTTTTCATCATAAACGACAAGCATTAATAAAATTATGACGATAACGATTACAAAAACAAAATTATCTAGTGTTAACAATTTATAAAGAATAATTTGTTTATATCTAAATTCACGATTAATCAAATACTTGATTCTTTGTATAATAAACTGTTTATACCATCTATAGTTCCTTTAAATTCACAATGAAAAACGTACCATTTTGCTTCTTTTCAAAGCAGGAGCAGATATTCCTCTTTGACGAAAATTATGGAATATTTTCTCCTGAAGAATTACCCCACCATTTACGAAGCGCATGCGCGCTAACATCGACATGATTCCGGTTTTTTGTTTCGTTTGGTAGATTTCGTCTGCTATTACACAAAATAAAAGAAGGTATCATTATTATGTAACTGTTTATTATTAAAAAAACATTTTATGATAAAACATATGACGAAAATATGAAGCATAATTTTATCATCCGATGTATACGTTACAATGTCTGTAGAATATCCAGTTAAGATATTTCAGATGTATATATGGTATTCAAATATGAAAGAAGATTCAATGCTAAATGTTTTATGATTATAGCCGATTCATTGTTAATTATTAACTGTTACAAATTATCCTTAAGGATTGTGAGATTATTTATTGCGTAGTGAGTCCATAACCTTACCGGTGAATCTGTATCTCCTTATCCAAGACTTAAAAAAGGTCTTATTATATTGCGTGAATACGTTTAATGTTAATATTATAAAATATTAATCGATTTATCAGTTTTATACTTAATTTAGCTACATCTAAATGCTTGTAGAATTTTATACATCTGCGCACGTCGATTGAGAAATATCTTCACGGATTTCAAGCGTCAAAGTGTTGGCGGTTTATTTGAAATTGATCTCCATTGTATTTTCTCTGTCACACATTTTTAAAAACAGAATTTACAATGCTTGATTAACTTCTTTATATCTATTAACTTGAATCTTTGTAATTGCTTTTCGTGTGATTGTTATAATGACAAATGTTTGTCGCATTATCATTGTAAATTAAAATAATAAAAATAACACGAATGATTTTTCTGAAATCAGTATCGATCGGAAAAGTATTTAATAGATTTATTATCGGAATTCTGACACATCGTGATTGCTTCGTATAAAATAATGAATATTTTTATTCGGCTCTTGTTTTCTCTCCATTTTGGCAATTATTGAAAACCTTCTTTCAAATATACTAGACATTCAAGTCGTATTCAACATTACGTGGGACGTTAATAACATGTAGCTTCGTAGCTTAGGAAAATTTATGCACATTCGTACTCCTATCGATTAAATAACCGTGAATTTTGTCCAACGATGAAGCTCCGAAGGCGATAAATCAGCCTCGCCGGACATCTGCGCGCATTTCGCGATATTGTTTGATTCCAATTAAATGTTTTGAAATTTAATTATACATTCGTTTCATCATTCGAACGTATTTGCCATCTTCGCAAAGGGGAACAGAAGTTACAAGATGCTCGGAATCGGCTTTTAATAAAACCTTTCGATTCATCGTTTCACGCATACCGTTTCCCACAAGGACTTTCATTCTCGCACGTGCTTCACTTCTGGGATGACGATCGCGATTACGATCCTTTTACTCACTCTCACCCATCGCGATCGCCCGCTTTTACGTTCACATCGCCGAGAAGGGAATGTTACGTTAAATTGCGTTAATCTGTTTACAGACACGTATCGAATATTTTTCACACGAGAAACCACGGCGATCCGGTTTAATAAATAATCTTAAGCACAATCTAAGCGGTTCGGTTCTATTGCTTTATACTTTGTAGCGCTTTAGAAACTCCGCGCATACTGTAAATACATGAACACCGACGATTTGCAATCTAGGCAACGGTGATTTGTTCAATGTCGCTAGAAAAGTTATAGTTCGCTAGAGCTACGAATTAGGTTGCCTCACCGTGGCCATTATAAATGAGACAGAAGTTAACAAACAAATACATAAACTTATTGCTAAATACCGGCCAATTTACGCAAGCCGTTCGCTGATACACCCACGTGAGACGCGGTATTCCCGAGCAAATCGAATGAAAAGTTCCAGGCGGCTGTTTAAGGCTGCACGTCCAATTTCTGCATAACTATCTGATTAGGGCCGTAGAGCTGTCTCGTCTTCGAATCGATGAATTTCATTTCACTTATCCGTGTCAGCGCCGAAGCGATCCGCGATCGGGCAACAGTCAGCTACCGCTTCAGATTTACTCTCTCCTGTCACGGATATCCAGTCGCCGACACATTCTGCCGTTGTCTGCGCGGCAACGTTGTTAACATGGTATATTTCTGCAATATATTTTCAGATTGGAGACTGCCTCCACGGTGCCGGCTCGCCGATGCTCGGCTTATTCTGGCCCCGATGAAAAATAAGATTGCGCAGTCCTTACGCTCGAATGTTGGCGCATCGAACGACGCTACGATGCTACCGTTTCACCGATCCGTGATCCGCGGCAGCTCGTCCGGATGCCGATCTTATAACATCGACCTGCACAAACGAAAACTATTCTGGGATTAAACGGATTACAATGAATTACTACGTGGCTGCTTGCTTTCATTTATTTACATCTTCACATTTCTATATTTTATTTTTATTTATATCTTTACATTTCATTTCTATTCATATTTTTTATTTATCATGATTGCAGAAGGATTCTACATTGTCAAGGTGTTCGCATTCTGAAGGAAACATCCTGCATTACGCATCCACCACTTTTACTGCTATTTCGCCGAGATAACTAATATGAATGCAGTAATAGCAGCGTGGAGAACGATAACCGCTCTATTTCCGCGCTGATGCAACCCGTACCGTTGAACACCATTGATTTCCGGTTGCTACGCGATTTCTAATATCAGTTCTCCTATGATCTTAACGAATCACCGTTGATCGAGTACTTCGCCCGTAATTCGGACTGAATTACGAGACGAAACTTCGACGAACCGAAATCGGGTAGAAGTTGCAACCCTCCGCTGATAATTTAATAATAATATTATCAAGCGTTATATTGTTATTGATATTATCAAGCATGGACGAGCGTTAACGATTTTCACGGCACGAGAACGGCAGAAAAAAAGTGTTAAACAATATCGACGATACAAGAAGGATAAATGAAAGTGTTGACAATGAACAGGACGAGAGAGTCGCGCAGACGTGAGAGATGCGCTAATTGTTACGTAATGAGTATTGATAAAAAAGCGCGCGCTATCAGCAAGCAGCCAGGGTCTTTCCGTTTTACGTAAATTATAAAATCACTGCCGTCGGTGTGATATTCTTCACTGTACGCGCGGAAGGGCTGCCCGTTGTATCCGCAGCCTGGCTTCAAATTCGACGCGCCATCGAAATGACACGGATTGCGTGGATCCTGTAAGCGACATTTCTCTCTTGTTACCGGGTGCCGTCAAAGTGATCCGCGAATTCTTGTAATTTCCAGGACACTGGTCGGCCTTATTACCGGCGGCACCGCCTTCATTCAGGATTATCCTCTGAATTTAGGATGGCTGTTCGGCGCGAACGGCCTGTCGGACTTGGGCAAACAATCGACAGAGCGGTCACTTTGTGAAACATCGGAATGCGTTGCGCTCGGTAAGGGAACGAACGTTTTCCTCGTTTAATTGCGCGATGAAATTTTCTGGTTACGCAAGCACAGAAACCAGTCGGTATGTATATCGGCTCGAGCATCGCGCCTCGGCTATTAAACAACCGGTCTCGCGTAATAAATCGAGCCTATTAAAAATAGTGCAACGATTTAATACGATTCGCGCTTTCGGCCGCGGATAAGAATGCCGCGACGTCACCGGCACGCGCTAAATTTTCTCCGAACCGTCGCGCGATCGTTTCCTCTCGAAACGGAAGAGCTTTATTATTTTATTGCTCCGTCGCGCGGTTCGTTTACGCGCTTATGGCAGAAACGAGCAATTACTACTGTTCTAAAATAGCGGCAGAATTAAAAAGGAGAGAGAATTTAATAGAATAAATAGAACTTATTTGTGAAATCGTTTAAAACGGCGAAAACTTTCTATCTAGTTTCTCTCGCGTTTCAACAACGGACTACATACTTTTATTTCGCATGAAAATCCGCGGCGGCGGTCTACGCGTAAAGAAAGCGATCCTCGCCTCCATAATATTGCGTTGTTTAATTTCGACAGCAAAGATGATGACCGAGAGCATGAACCCGGACGTGGATCCGTGTGAAAACTTTTACGACTACGCGTGTGGGAATTGGGCAAAACAGAATCCCCTCCCTAAAGACGAAAAAGTTTGGAGCCCGTTGTCAAAGGCGACTGCTGTTGTGGAAAAGCGACTCCAAGGTTCGTCGATCTCACCGCGGATCATTTCCCGTTAAAATAAGCCGATTCTATTGTTTGATTACTCGTGAAAACGCTTCGAGAACGTGGCTCGACATTCTTCCGCAAGCGGACACGTTTGCCGAACGAGCGAAAATTTGCGATTTCAAATCGCGCGATTTTATCTCTTGACACGAGTCGACGGTTTTTCCACGCTTTGCTTTTTAGCTTTGTCACTTGTTTTTCATTGAATTTCCGTGATTGTTAACGGAGAACGTAGTCGAGCAAAGCGAATTGCACCGCGCTTCTGATAAGTAGAAACGCCGAGCAATGGTCAGACATTGTATGAAGTAGTATTATCCATACGAAAGCAGATCCGATTTTAATCGATTTAAGCATTTATCTTCGCATGCGAAACAAGATCGACCAATGCGACGAAATTACGATAATATGAATAATACGATTTACTACATTTCTAGATATGTTGCATGCAAACACGAAGCCCGGCGACTTCCTGGGCCTGAAATTGGCTAGAAAAGCATACAACGCTTGCACGAACACGGGTAACATCTGCTATTATCTCATTCGACGGAAAAATCGATTATTTTAGTAAATAAAACGTACCGATTCTTTTGTTACCGCTTTTTCTTTTTGTCAGTTTCACGGGAATTAGTTTAGGCAATCAAGGTACCAAATTGTGTGCTGTTCATTTATTGCCCAATTTAGCCAATAAATTGCCAATTTAGTACCTTAATCGTTGTAAACGTTTTGCTACAGACTTTTTTTTTTTTTTTTAAATTCTTTATACAGTTTACGAATTCAAGGTTTTTCGATTAAACCGTCCAAATTGCAGACGAGCTGGAAAGAATAGGACTCGATTCACTTATCGCTACGATATGGCGGATCGGAGGGTGGCCGATGTTAATGGAGGACGACGAGTGGGACGAGGAATTGTATACTTGGCAATACGTGGACGATTATTACGCTGGTTTAATAGGTGAAAACATTTTGCACGAGATGACCGTCACCGTGCCGTGGGATTGGGAGTCGAAGGAATTTGTTTTACGGGTGATTACGCGCGATTTATTCCACGTATCATAAACATTCGCAAACGACATTGTCACTAAGAGTATTTAATTTTCTCAATGAGAATAATTAATAAAAAAATAATAATTTCAGATTCAAGACCCGGATCTGCCAAGTAGAATGTACAGTCTCGTAAATTTAAATGACTTCCCCCGTTCAGACAGCGAGGACGACGAAGGTCGCAACGGCAGCCAAGAGCGCGGCAGCGAGGAGAGGGACGACGAGGACGACGGTCGCGAAGAGGACCGCGAAAAGGACGACGACGACGAGGATACGCGGAAGAAGAGGATAATCAAGAGCGTTAAGAAACGTTTGAGACACGACCTGAGCAGGTACGGCGGTGGAAAACTGAGCGACGAGAAGCAACGAGTCGGACAGGGAAGAACGAAAAGAGCGGCGATTCGATCGAAAGTTCACTATAAGGCGCAGCATGAACGAAGCAGACAGGAGAACCGAAGAGTTCTTAATAACAAGAAGATGTCGCGCCATAGAAAAATATCCGCGGATCACCGCGTCCAAGAAGATTCGAGGCACATATATATTGACGACAGCGCCGAAGATGAAGAAACCGATGACGACTATGATTATTATGAGGATGATGATATGTATAGCGGCAGCGGCAGCGGTGACGGTGATGAGGACGACGAAGATGGCGGCAGTGGCAGCGGCGACGGGCCCTACGACGACGATGAAACGGAAAGTGCGGAGAAAGACTGGGAAGAGGAGAGGGCTAAAATGTTGAAGGCGAGGGAGGAATTTAAAGAGTACGTGTTGAACGTCACCATGGCGCTTGCCGAAGCCATGGATGTCCAGATACCAAAGGAGAGGATGGAGAAAGACATTAACGATTTGCTGAAGTTTCAGCTGGGCGTCCTAAAGGTAAATGCAGTAAATTCTCCCTAATTGATCGCGCACAGAAATGGACAATCGGGGAAGAGGAGATACGATTGTTCGAGTGAACAATCTCCTTTTCCCAAATTGTCCATTTTTGTGTGCACAATCTGAGCGTCAATTAGGGAGTGTAATATCTAGTTTAACACCAAAACGGCGGATATATGTAATCGACTTTGTCGACGACGGAGCATCCTCTACGTTGATTGCGACTCTTGCAGCTCTCCTACGTGGCCAGTGGCAAGAAGATCAGCTCGTTTGGAAAACTCCAAAAGTGGTATGATAATCTGAAACCATCCACGAAGAACGGTAAAGTAAGTATATTTCGCGTCTTTTCGTGTCGAAGCTGTCGAGAAATTTTTAGTATTTCCGGGACGACGAATTTAATATTCTACTGTTCATCACTATTATTCCGTTATGTTAGTCACCGTTATTGAGGATCCATGTCATTGCCATGTTAAATGTTTCATTCTGTTATTTGTAGATAGATTGGATCACGAAATTGAAAAACGTAGGTACGATGGCGGGTTTGAAAATGGATGGCAACACGGTGGTCATGATTCCATCCTTCATTTATTTCGCAGGACTTCACAAGCTGCTTAATAATACACCGAGCAGAACGATTGGTATGAAAACATAATTTATATGTCGTATATTTACAGTTGCATAACTGCGATCGGTTAGTAAAAAATATTTAAACGATTTCATGCAGTGAATTACGCTCATTGGAACTTTATATCGAGAACGATAAAGGCCACTACTGATCAGATGGCAGATTTGTATTACAAATGGAACATAAATAACCAAAGACCCGAGAAAAGGTATTTCATTTATACAAATATATGCCGATTATTTATAACAAATAACACGCTGGTGCAAACGATTACATTTTCTCGCAGATCAGACGAATGCATGGAAGACTTATCTACGAAGTATTTCTTGGGATATGAATACATAAAACGATATTTCTCCGATGACTGGAAGAAAACGGTATTGATGAAATCTTTCATTAAACAGTCGATAATAAGTTCTCACCTCCTAAATTACGTATACTCGAGAAGGAGCAACCGTAATCTATAAAAGCAGTAATTAGAGTTGTCGATTGTTCAAGGCTATGGATATGATCGACGACATTCAAAAGGAAGTCGAGTATCGCGTGAAAGCGTCGACCTGGATGGACGATAAGACCAAGGAATACATATTGGCCAAATTGGTGTTCATGGAGAAGCTAATCGGTTATCCGCCTCTCTACCAAAACCACACACTTATGACGGATTATTACAAAGGAGTAGGTTGCACAGAAATACGATTATGTAGCATAATTTTGCTTGCGGGCATGCAACGTCATACCGAAAATCATTTTCATGCTGAAACATTTGAACGAGTTGCATAAAATATGCTACGAAGCTATGCAAGTTAAAAAAAAGTTTATTACTTATTATTCTTTGTAAAATAGCATCGGACTATTGGCATAGCTACGTTAGCGGTAACAAAAGTATTCAGACAATTGTAATGAGAAAAATTGTAACTCGTGCATTGTGTAGGTGACCATGAGCCACTCTCATTTCGAGAATATAATGAGTATAATGAGGCATGGTAAACGGCTAGAACTGAAACACGTCAACAAGTCGCCAGAGAATATGTACGAGTAAGTCTCATTCAAATATTATTATTATTATATTATTATTATATTAAACAAATATTTGAAACAGGAACAAATTCGCTTTATAATCAAACGAAACGTTTACTTGCAGATCTTACATAGATCCTTTGGTTGTGAACGCCTTTTACATGCCCAGTGAAAATGCTATCGGTAAGTTACGAGTTGGAATGAATTCTTTTCACGCGAATACTTTTCGGCTCGTGCTCTGATAAGCCGAAATAGCATAAGTGAAACTAGCACAAGCTCAAGGTTCTTAAACTTTTTACAGAAATAACAGCGGCAGATTTCCAGAGCCCGTTCTACAATCCCAAACAGCCATGGTAAGCACCGGTTACTGTGTTCTCTCCGCAAATGGCAGAACTTCGGGTCTGCATAGTTACAGTTACGAAAGAGATACGGGAAATTCTCCGAAATTGTTCCTCGGCTTGAAAACAAATATAGGCAATTTGGAAAAAGTGATTATTATCGATATGATTATTATTAATACGAACGATTATTCGAACTCGTTTTCACAATTGTTGACAATCGATCATTTTAAAAAGGGGTCGCGAGCTGCTCGAACGATCGTGTCTCCTCTTCCCAAGTTGTCCATTCTTGTCTGCAAGCTGAGGGACAATCGGAGAGAATTTGGAAAAGAAATATGACCCGAGGTTCCAACTGTTTGAAACGGATTTTCCAAAATGGTGGTGATAAAATGTTGCCAATTATTGTGGTAGAGATGATTTTGCAAGTTTTTAAGAGAGAATTCTGTACATTCTTGAAGCGCATGATATTTTCTCGTGCACAGGTACACGAACTTCGGCATCATAGGATTCATAATGGCTCACGAAGTGAATCACGGATTCGACACTATGGGTGAACAATTGCAAAATTCTGTCAAGCAAAATGCCCCGAGAATAAATACCGATTTACGATTGGTCGATTTTAGGTCGCATGTTCGATAGGCACGGCACGTACGCGTCGTGGTTGTCTGCTGCGGCGGACAGCGCGTACGAGAAACGAGCCGACTGTTTCAGAGAGCAGTTCACCAGATACAGCATGAAGGAAAACATGACCGCAAACATTCAAATAAAGGTTAAATTTCTTCTAGTTTCGTCTAATTTTATCAACGACGATAGCAACGATACAAAGTCGTTGCGTCGAAATGCCAAAAATGTTCGAATAACTGTCACTTTTGGTCCCTGAAATCGATCGAAAAGGGGAATCAGAGGATCCTACAACATGTAATGTGCAATAGCGGATGTGCAGACAGCGATTTAGCTGCAACTTATTCACATTCTCCGCCATGTAATTGCAGAATTACGGGGAACATACATCAGGCGAAAATATCGCGGATTCAATGGGCTTGCAAGCCGTGTTCGCAGCTTATCAACGACGACAAAGGAACTGCGAAGTCCCCGACCCCATGTTACCGGGTTTCGAGAATTTCACTAACGATCAATTGTTCTTCCTGTCCACTGCGAACGTGAGTAGCAAAATGAATACGTAAACAACGTTTAATGTATGAATCAATATTACTGACGATTAACGAATGCGAAGAACAAAAATCCTCAACGAGTTTGATTTAATTCCTTAGAACATTGTTTCTGTAGCAGATTGTATATTCTTTGAAAATTTACAGGTATGGTGTACAGTCTACGATCCAGACAAGATTGCGACGCGATTGAAGTATGATCCGCACAGTCTAGCCCCGTTAAGGGTGATCGGATCCCTATCCAACTCCGAAGATTTTGCGGAAGCTTATCGCTGCCCGAAAGGAAGCCCCATGAATCCTGAGAAGAAATGCAACCTATGGAAATAATTCCTATAAGAAATTCCTATAGACCTATAGAAATTATCGAGATTAATATTATTTTGACCAAAGAAGGCGGTAGACAATTATGAGAATGTTATTGTAATCATTTTGTTATTGAGTCGTTTTTCCTCGATTCGCTTACCAGCTTTTTCTGTGACGATCGTAGAGATAATTTGGTAAGAAGAAAGGCGCATAAAAATAGGTAAAAATAGGGTCAATGGATATCCTAATGAGGCCTGAATTGTGATTTGCGTCGATAAGATTAGTATTAAACATATATTTGTATTTTACGGTTAATTGAATAATAAAAAGCTGTAGTTTCGAGAAGAAGATGTTAATGATACCGAGATTTCTTGAATTTATTATCTTACCTGCACCGTCATCATTCATATAAAATAGGCAGTTAATAAATAATAGTAGGTAAATAATATTTTGACGTTTCTTGGCTGTATCATCATTTTTTAGTCAATCAAATATTTCTTAGAAGTAATTCCATGAATCGAAAGTTTCAACGAATGTACGGAAACGGACGCGACGTCCATTTCGCGTGTGTTCATAGCACTATTTTTGTGTTTAAGTATGATTGTTTCATTGGTGCAAATTAATTAACTCAATATCGATCGATATAGATATTACTCAATACCAATAACTATACGAGCTATTCCAAAACAAAGAGCAAAGAAAAATGCAAAGTTTGTTAAGATAACAAATATTAGGAACAAACGAACGAATATTAAATTAAACGATGAGCCAATTAATAATTAAGATAACATGAAAAATGTATGCACGTTGATGAAGCCGGTAATAATCTTAAGCTAGAGCAAGGATTGTAATGAAACGAATAAATAAATCAAAACTACGAGGTCTCAAAAATTCTCATCTATTCGTTTCAGTGATAACACGCGTGTAAATTTTATCATTGTCCGCGTACACATTAATAGAATAGTTTACCTTTGGTTCTTGTCTGTTAATACACGTCTGTTATCGTTTCATTAAATCCTTGCAAACGAACGTAATTATTTTTATCAAGCCGGAAGGAAACAGAATTTCATTAACGGTTGCTGGGTGGCGACTTGTTACAACTAGATAAATTATCTATACGATTCACAAGGGCAGAGGATGCACTATCACCGTCTGTTTCGATTCCGCGTTACCGCTATCATATAGTACAGTGTTACGACTATCAGATCGTTCCTTCCTATTTCGCGCATATAAAATGGTCGCGCGGAATCATCTCCGGTCATTTCTGGAATATTTCTCCGGGCCGGTTTTGCTTCCGCGAAGATCGGCCATAGTTCGCGAGAATGATTCGGATCTTGCTCTTGTAAGTAGACATTTTTTTCTACACAGTCAGAATATTTTGTAAGACAGAAATTCTATTGTTTTATCATATGAAGAATTGCGCTCGATTAACGCGACAAATTTACGTTCGATTAATATTTATCATTATACGTTATATTATTATATCTTTTTCCGAGACTTCATTCAATAATAATACAGGAATGGTTTCACATAATTTTGCAACATTTTCTTTCTAGAGCGTCCATTGGCGCTGTCGCAATCGCCACCCCATCTTTCCGGGATTACCCTTTCGGCTTGGAGAGTTTGTTCGCCTCGAAACGCGAAGTGATCGCCGCGAAGGAGACAAAAGAAAGATCGGTATGCGACTCCGACGAGTGCAAGCTGATCGGTAAGTACTTTCGAGCGCATAAAGATATTTTCACGATGCAATTTTGTAAAAGTTATATTCCTCTTTAAAAGGCATCCACTTATATTTGTCACAAAGATCTGTTCGCTGTCCGAATATTATTGTTACACACTTGTTAGTATAAGATCAACAATTTCAGAACAGCAAATTCACATTGTGTTCGATTGTCGTCACGATAGCGTAAGGAAAGTAAAGCGGAAGAATTTGATTCGCAAATGGATCAATTTGGGGGGTGAATTTAATATGTGAAGTAGCGAGTTCGATATGCAGAAGGATAAATTTGATTTGAAGAAAAGGTGAATTTGATTTGAAAAAAAACAAAACGGTGAATTTCGTTTGGGAAAAGATGAATATAATTTGGAAGAAGACGAATATATAGTTTGGAAAATGACGAATGTAATTTGCCTGATCGTCGAGTGCAGAACCTGTATGTATAATATATTTTCCTGAAAATAGCCAAGACAATCAAGGATGGCATGGACGAGTCCGTTGATCCTTGCGAGGATTTTTACCAATTCGCATGTGGGAAGTGGGACGACAAGGTTCCCGAGCCTGGCTCCGAGTCAGTCCCGAGTTTGTGGGATATGATAATGAAGAAGATTGAAAAACAAGTTGCAGGTTCGTGCCACATTTTCGATCGAACGTCTGTTTCAATAAGCTCGACTTTACGCGCTCTTACGAAGTTTCATCAAATTCTATACATTTATTATATTAATTATATTATATTAATAATATAATAATAATATAATATTATATTATAATGCTATAACTTCAAATTTTCAGGCCTCATGAAATCTCCGATCGAGCCCGACGACATGTTCGCCGTGAAACTGGCAAAGAAATGGTACAAGAGCTGTATAAATCGAGGTAATTACCAGATTTTTTTCGTTAATCAACGTCGTTCGCCAAGATGTTCGGTGTTTCTTCGAAACTTTTACGTAGCTTGTATTTTTCTACGACCCTAACTATGTACAACGGCGATGGTAATACGACGACGAGTAGAATTGATATGTCATGGTCAGACGCGCCGGCTCCTATTCCATGCTACAGTAAAGCCTCCCTAATTGACGCTCAGATTGTAACGTAAAATGGCTAATTTGGAAGGAGCGGATACGATTGTTCGAGCTCGTTTTCACATTGAACCGCAATAAACATCTTCTTACGTTCTCTTTTTATCTATATTACATATTATTTATAAATTTCTTGAGTCGTGCGACACGCTTGCATCAATTTGTCCCGAAAACGCGGAGCCTCGAATGAAAGAAAATATTATCCCACGTTCCTGTCATGTCTTTTGCGACAGAAGACTTTTCGTATTGTAAAAGACTCTCTTATCAGACGTATTGTTTAATAAACGTGCCAGAGGAGAAAACGTTAGAGCCCATCGTTGCTACATTGTGGAGACACGGCGGCTGGCCGTTGATAATGGAGCCTGGGGAATGGAACGATCGCATATACAACTGGCAGATAGTTGACGACCAATTTGCACGTTTGACGGGAACGAATGTCTTCTTCGATATGATCATCACTCCGTTGTCGATGGATGGCGACGAAACCATAGTGGTACGACCAAGTATTTATTATTAACTAATTCTATCCATTCTATTCTGTCAATTCTATTCTATTGATTCTATTCTATTGATTTTATTCTATCGATTCTATTCTATCAATTCTATTCTATTGATTTTATTCTATTTATTCTATCCTATTCATTCTACTTTATTAATTCTATTCTATTCATTCTATTCTATTAACTCTATTCTATTCATTCTATTCTATTCATTCTATTTTATTAATTCTATTCTATTCATTCCATTCTATTAACTCTATTTTATTAATTCTATTTTATTAATTCTATTCTATTAACTCTATTTTATTAATTCTATTTTATTAATTCTATTCTATTAATTCTATTCTATTAATTCTATTTTATTAATTCTATCTTATTGATTCTATTCTATTCATTCTATTCATTCTATCTTATTAATTCTATTATCTAGTATCGAGATAAATTCTGAATATTTCAGTTGGACACGCCGCACATGATGCCCGGAATTTACCGGCTGCTCCCGGAGCCTTACCACGGCACGGACACCAGCAACGAGAACAACGAGAGCGGCGAGGGTAGCCAGGAGAAAGGTAGCAAGGAGAGAGGCGGCCCTAAGAACGGCGGTGCCGAGGAGGACGACGANATTCTATTAACTCTATTCTATTCATTCTATTCTATTCATTCTATTTTATTAATTCTATTCTATTCATTCTATTCTATTCATTCCATTCTATTAACTCTATTTTATTAATTCTATTCTATTCATTCTATTTTATTAATTCTATTCTATTCATTCCATTCTATTAACTCTATTTTATTAATTCTATTCTATTCATTCTATTTTATTAATTCTATTCTATTCATTCCATTCTATTAACTCTATTTTATTAATTCTATTTTATTAATTCTATTCTATTAATTCTATTCTATTAATTCTATTTTATTAATTCTATCTTATTGATTCTATTCTATTCATTCTATTCATTCTATCTTATTAATTCTATTATCTAGTATCGAGATAAATTCTGAATATTTCAGTTGGACACGCCGCACATGATGCCCGGAATTTACCGGCTGCTCCCGGAGCCTTACCACGGCACGGACACCAGCAACGAGAACAACGAGAGCGGCGAGGGTAGCCAGGAGAAAGGTAGCAAGGAGAGAGGCGGCCCTAAGAACGGCGGTGCCGAGGAGGACGACGAGGAGGACGAAGGGATCGAGGAGGACGCCGAACCGGAAGACGAGGCGGAGGAGGACGCGCGACTGAGAAGTAAAGTGTCCCGAAGAAGGAGCCATGACAGGAAACTGAACCATGGAAGGTCGAGGGCCAAACACAGCCTCGGCAGGAGACGTCGCGAGAGGAGCCTTGGAAGGAGGCCGACCATGGTCGAGGAGATCGTTTTGCGCAGGCGACGAAGCTTGAGCAAACGGAACCCTAAGCACGGGGTGCAGCGGAAGTCGCGGAAAACTGGCAGGAAATCGCCGGCGCACAGACACTTTCCCATGAGTCACCTGAAGAAGTCCAACGCCGGGAAGAGTGATGCGAAACGGTCCGGGAAGGGCGACGCCGCGAGCGTGAAGAAGGCGCGCAACCAGAAGCATGCTGCACACAGGAACAACAGGGGGAACGACGAAGAGAGGAACCGAGTGCGAAGGAGGAGCAACAGCCGTCAGCACGGACATGAAATGGACGAGGTGCACGGCAAGAGAAGAATTCAGCACAGAGTCCACCACGTCGCGAGGAAGATTGCCGAAGAGAAGGCCGACGAGCCCCCGAAGAACGACGAGACCCCGAAGAGCGACGAGGCCCCGAAGAGCGACGACGAGAAGAAGGAAGACAGCAGCGAGAACAAAGTCGATACCGGCGACGAGGGGAAGAACGGCGACGATGCCGGCGATGCAGAAGATGGTGGCGAGGATGGCAAGGACGACGAGGAAGAGAATGGCGGAGCCGGCGAAGAGGAAGAGGAAGAGTCCGACGAGGAGGACGTGGCGGAGCTTACGGAGGCGTTGCAGAAGTATATAGTATCCGTGGCGGACACACTTTCGAAGGTCAGAGGCATAGAGGTGTCGCGCAAGAAGATAGAGAAAGGCGCCGAAGACCTTGTCAAGTTCATGATTAAATTGGGAGAGGTAAACGGTCCGAGTGATCTTGGCTCGTTCGCGAACCGCGGATTTTTATGCAGAATAAAAATGTTCCGCGTCTCATCGCAAACGACGGATCGGTCGATCAGGAATCTCTTTCTTATCTTGAATATTTTTCACGTTGGACCGGGGTCGAATTGTTCGAATTCTTCAGCCGGTTCGGACAACGCCGACTCGATTGTGAATGCAATAAAATCCGCGGTCAAAAACGATATCGGCGAATCTCTCGTCGAACCGATCGGAATCGTATCTCGTCGTTTCTTTTTTAGATCTCGCTGATAGACTACGATATGCAGAACATGACGCTCAGCGAATTCCAGGAATGGTACGACGGTTTGGGACCTCAAAAGCAGAACAGCAAGGTAAGAGTTTCGTTCTAACGTTTCTCTCGCAACGCGTTTCTCTGTATAAATATATATTATAAATATTTATACATTTTTTTTCGAACTAACAATCGACTCGACAAGATTCCCAAAACGTGGCTAATCGATGTTTAGGTCAATTGGAAGAGGAAGGTGCAGAAGCTGTTCACCGAGGCTGGAGTGGAGCTCGACGACGACGTAGAGATCACGCTATCGCAGACCGAGTATTTCGAGAACGTCCGCGAGCTGCTCAATGAAACGCCCCCCGAAGTGATCGGTACGAAACATTGGACCTTATCTCATTTTTATTATGTCATCGATTACGCCATCGATCTCTGATCCATTGGAGTAACGCTAATTGTTGCTTGTCCGTTACAGTTAATTACATTCACTGGTTCTTCCTCAGCACAGTGGCAACTGCCATATCCGAAGATCTTCAAGAATTAGCCAAGGATTGGGAGCCCATGCCGTCTAGCTCAAGGCATCGTTTTTCACAGCTTCGTAAAATTATTCGGTCGAGTCGCATAAGATAACTTCCGTTTTCTTATCGGACATTTATTTTGTTTCATTTTCTTTCTTCCTTTTTGTCTTTCTATTTTCTTCTCTTTTCCTCGCTTTCTGATTCTCTGTATTCTCTTCGCTCATAATTATGGGAAGTCATTTATTACTCGACTGAAACAGAAAACAGTGTAATTAAGAGATTCTGCCGGTTAACGCTAAGTCGTTCGCGTGTTTCGTCTCGTTGCAGGGAGGAAGAATGCACGCAAGTGGAGCTGTCCGATGTGATCGGGTACGAGTACACGAAAAAGCATTTCCCGCAACAGCTGGAGAGAATGGTAAAAATCTTGCTCGAATGAGATTGAATGAAATTAAACGAATAAATAAGGGATGAAGGAGTAATGTCGTCCGTCTCGACTTCGTTTGTTAACAAAACATAGGCCAGGGACATGATCGACGACATACAGAAAGAAGTCGAATATCAAATCAAGGAGTCGACGTGGTTGGACGACGACACGAAGCATTTCATTCTGAGTAAATTGGTGCATTTGCAGCACATAATTGGCGCGCCCGATTGGTATCAAAACAAGACGATGGTCCAACGCTACTTCCAAGGGGTAAATTGACGTTCCAGTAATAATTTCTTTATCGAGAACTATTTAACCAAATTAAAGCAATCGAATTCCCCTATTCTCGAAAAATAAATGTCGTTATTGCTGTTTATATTTGAACGATACACATGTAATAGTGGAAAATATTCGATATTTATTATATATTTTATATTATATATAATAATAATAGAAATAATAATAATATAATAAAATATAACGTAATAATAATAATCATTAATTTAGTTTATATTATATTTATTATATATTTTGTAAGATCGCAACGATCTTTGTTTCTTTAGAAAAAAAATGTTAAAATTGCGATAAAGACTAGAAATTGTTACAGCTCACGATCGGCCTGTCTTACTACGAGAATGTGCTGAACTACATGAGATATCTCGAATGGAGGAAACTTCGAAGACTAGTAAACCCGGACGAGTTGCCACCGTAAGATTTTATTCGAAGCTATTAATCGCTATGCTACGGGGGGTAGAATATTTTATAACTGTATTTTCTTAATTTTTCGTAGATTATCCATGGATCCATTGATGGTGAATGCGTTCTTTATGCCAACGGAAAATGTTATAGGTTCGTGTACTTCACTATTCGAATTTAAAATTGAATGAACTCTGAAGAAAACAATTTGTATCACGAAGTATTATGTTTCGCTGTATTAAAACAAAACTTTCTCTCTTTGATGCAGCGATCAGCGCGGCCGATCTCCAAAACCCCTTCTTCGCCACGAACAGGCCATGGTAAATAATTGGAACGCTTGTTCTTTATATTATGAAACATCTAAATTGGATTCGTGAAATAACAACGACGTTAACCAATGATATCGTTTTGATACAGGAACTCAAATTTCGGTATTATCGGAAGCGTAATAGCCCACGAGGTGAACCACGGCTTCGACGATTCCGGTGAGCGAAAATTCTTTTAGATCGGCTAGTTTACTGGGCAATGTCTAAAATCGTCGAAAAGAAACGAATAAAAAGCCGATATTGTTGAACTATTTTAGCCGGAGCTTGAAACGAAAAATTAAAGAACGTGATTAATTAATTACGTTTTTTTTTAGGCCATTTGTACAACCGCAAAGGCGAGCCGACGGAATGGCTGTCCGCAATGGCGACGGCCTACGACAAAAGAGCAGAATGTTTCGTTCGTCAGTTCAACAGTTACCAGATCATCAAAGGGAATGATTTCAAAATTAAGGTAAATCTTCCACGGTGTTAATTTCAATTTCAACGAGTCCCTTTTTAAGTGTCTTTTCAAGTGGAATTTGTTTTACCGTTTCATTTTGATCGTATAGCAACCATGATCGATATTTCACATCTTTCGATCGTTTTTAGGATTTCGGTAATCAAACCGCTGGCGAAAATATCGCCGACACGATGGGCCTGGAGGCTGTTTGGAGGGCTTATCACCGAAGATTAAGACAATGCAACAAGCCGGATCCAGCGTTGCCGGGATTAGAGAAGTTTGACAACAACCAAACGTTCTTCTTGAGTTTCGCCAACGTAAGTCTTCCGTCCGATTCGTAGATTTAATTAACATATCGTGTGTTAAAAATTGTAATTTTGTACTTTTAATTTCGTTGTACAAGGTGGTCCCAGAAATGTCTCGCGATAAACCAAACCGCCGATTGTATTTTCGCTAAGGAAAAAGTTACTTCGAACGATCCGTGGAACACAATCCATCTCCGGATTGCGAGACATTTTCGGGACACTCGGTATATTTTAAAGCAGGATTTTCAACTGAAGCATGTTTAAATCTTCTTTACAGTTGTGGTGCGAATATCAGAACCCGGAAGATCTGAAGAGGAGCACCAAGTACGACGTGCACAGTCCTGGACGTCTCCGAGTGATCGGCTCGGTATCGAATATGAACGGCTTCGCCGAATCCTTCAACTGCCCGGCAGGTAGTCCAATGAATCCCAAAGAGAAATGCAACATATGGTTGTAGTTTATGAATCATTTCGAAACCAGCATTTTGCATTCGCAGCCGTTATAACGCGCTTCCGACGACAAATATGATACGTTTCTTCGCAAATTATTTCCTCAAAAATTGAACTTCGAATACAATAAACACTTATGCTTATAGTTTGCTGTTCTTTATCGTTTGCACAGTGCAAACTGGTCCTTGCATTGCGTTCTTAACAAAACGTCCACGATCCATTTTCAATTCTACCTTCTTCCTCGACCACGAATTGTCTTCGCGTCGTTCTTAACATTTCAACGTTATTCATTTTAACATTATTAACATTTATTTTAACAGTATTTATTAATAATCTATGTTCTTCCTCGACTTTCCACATTCGCTCCGTATCCGACAACAAACTTTTCTCAAACGTCAGGCCCCTCGATCGACAAATTGGGCCCGCCGACCTCGGCTTCTTTTTTTTTTTTGATCGCAATCGCGTCCCTTTCTATTCGGCACACGATCGCTTTTCATCGAACGAAACAGCCTTGAACTCCGTGTTACGAGGCCGACGAAGCATCCGCAACGTCGGCTTCAAGGTGACGTTCGACCTGCTTCTTCTTCGCCAGCAGACGCCGCGAACGATTTGCGAAGGATCGCGCGGATAGAAGCGAGAATCCTGTCGTTCGTTTCTTTTCGGATCGTACGCGACGGCCGTTCGCCTAATTTCACTGCTCGCGGACGGCGAGGAGGAGAGACGGATCCTCGCCGGGGATGTTGCTCAACGTCGGATTATAGAAATTAACCTCTTGCACTCGGCACGTTACCGCGGGGGATACGATGACAGGAATCGCTTCATTTCTTCATCGGAAAGTATGCTATCGATATGCCCCCCAGCTATTCTGATTTCACGGTGCGCCGAGGGTTGCGATGGCCGCGCGTGCGATCTTGCGTTTTATTGCAATAACAATTGATCTTCGAATTGTTCGCGAATTTCGTCGGATTTTATCGAGCTAAAACATATTTAAAAAATTTCATCCCCTTCGTGGACACAGGTTTCGCACTATGAATTCTTCCGTTTGATAATTATGTTCGCATCTTTTTTATCATTATGTTCACCTTTCTTCGATAATTATGTCCGCTCTTTTCGATAATTATGTCCACCTGTTTTAATAACTATATTCGCCTTTCTCGATAATTATATTCACCCCCTTGCGCTTCGAATTAATTCCGCTGGAAAATGATCGTCATCCCTCTCAGCAATTTAAATTCACTCTAACATTGATCTTCGAGCGAATCGATCATTCTTCCACTTCGTTTTCCTTAAGCTATTAAAAAGTGAAAATAAAGTTCAACGTTTCGCGACACCGATATTTCGAACTATTTCCCACGTAGCAATTTCGCATAAAACGAATTAACATCGAAACGATCTGCGATATTTCCTGAAAATTTACCGACAACCACCGCCGTCTCATTTGCGACGCGACAAAAACCGCGAACCCGGATGCGCTCTAAAACGCGCGACCGCCTCTAAGAACAGGCCGGCGCTAATAATTCCATCAGGTCGAGATCGATGCTTCCTTCGCCAGCGACAATTAGTACGCAATCGACGATTGTGTTTTATTCGTGGACGATTATCGAAGAATTTCTGCCCAGGTAACGGCGATCGCGGCAATTAAACGTCGGCTATTCCGTAAAACGAAGAAACCTAATGAAATAACGACTGCCTAATCGCCCTAATTATCGAGATCATCATCATCATCGCCATCGTCATCATCATTATAATAATAATAATATTAATATCATCATCATCATCATCAGGGTGATAATGATGATGATGATGATGATGATCGCCGTCGCCGTAATCGCCGGTACGTGAAAAATGATTTCGTGTGATCGGACCGCGGAAAACGAAACGAAACGAAACGGAACGGAACGGAACGATACGAAACGAGGCGAATAAGAGCGAAGGAGAGGCGCGACGTGGTCTACGCGTTCCTCGCCGGCAATAAGTTACCCGCGTTATATCAAAAGCGTAAGCGCCTAACCGCGCATTGCATCGTTAACGGCGCGGATGTTGCAATTCGGTGAGACAGTTGTAGATCGATGTAGGGACAGTAAATTAGATCGGGCAAAAGAACATTACCTAACTGTAGCACGAGCGCTCATCTTCAGGCCACCAACACTTTCACAGATCAAACAGCGAGAGAGCGAGAGAGCGAGAGCAAGAGAGAAAGAGAGCGAGAGAGAGCGAGAGCAAGAGAGAAAGAGAGAGAGAGAAGTGGTGAAACTCCTCCGATTATGCCGGCGCGGCGATATCGAACAGGTATACACGTATAGATCGCGATCCGCGGCGTCTGCTCGGCCAGAGAAAGCACGCTCTGATTCATCGGAATAAATGGCCGCCGTTTAGAACGGATGCACCCCATTACAATGTGCATATCCATCGATAAAACTATCGCCGCGGACGATCGTGGTCGTGATATCGTGATAACGAGCGCGGAATTGCTAAATTCCTCGGGTTCCCCGCGTTTTCGGTCTTGCGACCGATCTCGCACCGCCGTCTCTTTCTTTAAACGTATGTCGCACGCATCGGACACGTGGTGTTCTTACGATCGACGGCCCAGACGTTGTTCCAAGAGTATTTCGACGTTCGATCGTTCCATTTCATTCGATTCGTTTGGCACAACCCTTTCGATTTTTCTGCGAATATTTTCTACGAATAACATGTAATAGAATAATCGTAAAAATTTCAGCACTGTATTTTTACCACGAACGCACGAAGATCCGCGGTCTAGTTATCATATACACGCCTGCGCATGTATTTAAATACATGTTATAATTACGTATGTACAGTCTTCGCGCGACAAGAAGGCAGTTTCGCGTTCCCCCTCCTACTAGCTGCCCGACAGTGGGACAGCCAGTGGGAGGGGAAACGTGGACGCGAAGCTGCCTTCTTGTCGCGCGAGGACTATACATGTTTCTGTACAAATTGCTACACTATAGATTTTTGAATCATATATATATACCGAAATTTTAATAGCAACAGAATGGCCAACGTTCGATGACAAAGAAAAAGGCACAGATCGAGGAACGAACGTCCGTACGGCGCTTCGACATCCGACAGGAGTTTCGCCGTCGAATTTATGCCGCGTGCGACGCAACATCGTTGCCGAATGATTAATCACGGTGGCTAAAGCAAATACAAGGCCGGTGGTGCCCAATTATTTCATTAACCGTGGAAGTATTTATTACAGGGAATCAATCACGACGCGGGCAAGAAAGATGAAAATCGCGGAGCGTTTAAGAGATCGAAGCGATTAGGGGAATCGCGCGTTTCGCGGAGGAAAGCATGCACGATATAATGAGCATAATAAATTGCTGGTTTGAGGGGGGCCGGGAATGTCCCGGCGGAACAATCGAACAGCAGAAAACCCGCGAAAGCTGTTCACGCAGGTAAGCCGGAGCAGCGATCGCTTTACGCAACGAGTTATCTCCGAAACCAATTTGCTATCTTTCCGAGGTGACGCCGCGCCGATGGAGATAATCATCGGGAAAACTTATTAAGAAGCGAGCAACCGCCGGTTAATTCAGCCACTTGGTAATTTCATTAATTCTCGCTCGCGTTCGCTTTTCTTCTTTGCGGACACGCGTGCGACGTCTCCCCGCGGCGAGCAGAACGAGCATGTTTTTGTCCGCCGATGAAATACGTCCGAGAGAAATATACGCAAGTGCACCGGCCGATCCGATTTCGTGATATTCAAAACGAAACGCGGAACACGCAAAATTACGATGCGCGCGCGCGGAATATGTCGCAAGAGCTTGACACGCTTTCGCGTGTTCAAATCGAACGCGCGCCGAAAGTCGTCGTTTGGGCGCGAAATGAACAATCGCCGGCATTTATCGCAACCCGCGGATGCTGCAGAAATATTTCTCTCTATTTTCAACAATTTCGCACATTATTCTTACGTTCTTTAAACGCGTTTCCTGTTTCAGTTTCACGTTCGAAAATTGTCCGAGAAAAATGTCCGATAAATATCGGCCAACTTCGACCGGCGACAACTCCGCGAAAAATCATCGTAAAACGACGACTCTTTTTTTAAATTAAAGCTCGGAACCTCTGCTTCAGGACGCTGTTCCTCGATTTCAAGTTTCGCGCAACCTCGCCGCTGTAACCCTTTAAACGCGAGGCCACGTTTGTCGCAGTATAAACGATCGAATCCATCGAAACGAATGATTTCCGACAGAACTATTTCTCATCAACGATTCCAAATAACACTGCAACAATCCGAGCCGTCGATTTTACGTAGAATTCACTGTGCATTCCAGTTCGATCCCAGTCCGGAGCAATCGCACGACAAAATGTCCCGCGACGATCCGCGAGATCTAATTACATTACGAACGTCCTCGAAAAGCGACGTTTCGCAACAACAATGACGGTTATTAAATCGGACAGCACGGCTCGTAAGCCGCGGGCAGACACCGTTCGCCTCCCGTCGACGAGGAGCACACCATAGAAAGTGTATCCATTTCCATTTCCATGTTACGCGTCGAACAGCTCTATAAATCCATAAGCGTCCGCAGATTGTGCATCGCTTGTCATCTTAATATTTCAATGGCTTTGAGGTAATACCACGTAGAAAGCGTGCGACGACGAATTTTTCCGCTTGTCCATCATCTCCGCTTGTCGAGTTAATTAATTTCGGCCGGGCTAATTAAGCCTGATTCGTTTAATTGCTCCCGAAACGGATGGTAAAAAAAGCGGAAGAGCACGGCGGCGGCGACGTCGAAGAAGAAGAAGAAGAAGAAGAAGAAGAACCAGCAGCAGCAGAAGAAGAAGAAGAACCTGAAGAAAAAGAAGAAAAAGAAGAAGAAGAAGAAGAACTGTCGCGTCACGAAATTAGTAGGGCACGCAGACACACGGATTCAACTGTCCGACGTGTACACACGCTCGCATCCTGGATGCAGAGAGTTTGTGCAATCAGTGAACTCGTGCTGAATACAGGTGGTGGCAACGTGGGATGTTGGTTAAGATAGGGATACATTATGCAAGATTGCGTCACGGGTTTATTGTATCAGCAGCTCATCGTACACGAGCGAGATAGCGGTCACGCCGCGGCGCGGCGAAGCGACGCCGGGGGGAGGGAGAGAGGACGCCGCGCACAGACCCGTTGGACCGTTTTGTTGGCTTTTTTTGTTCGTCCGCCGGCGGAGATTTACGGCGCTCGCGAATCCTGAAATTCGTCTTAATCGGTTTTAGATACGGTTTCGATCGTATCGCGGCGCGAGCGCGCGCGCGCGTCCGCTTTTATTATGCCCGGATTCGCGCGCGGGCGCGCGTTACGTGGACGCGACGAATCCGAGCCGCATAAATCGCGCATCTCGCGCAACATCGCGCGCCGCGGAGACCGTTTTTCAGATTTAATAAATGACCGGAGCCGAACCGCGGCTCACGCTTGATAAAGACGCTCCTCTTCGGCCCGTGACGTTGATAAATCGCGCGACAGAAAAACCGCGGCCCGCGGAATTTCGTCGAAAATCCGCGAGAACGAGCCCCCCCTCCCCCCTCGCTCGTCGATTACGCTTCGATGCGTCGATTACGATTAACTAATATCCTCCTCGAGGATATTAGTTAATCGACTTCGTCTGCTCGCGTTTGCAGCTGTCGGGAACGCGCGCTCGAAGGGTGTCTTTTATATTATATTATTATTGTAATAAATAAAAAGTTATAATACAATTATATCGCATTAAAATATAATTGTATCGCATATTAAACGGAGAAATAAATGTTCCACCCGGCTTCCGTTCGATGCAATCGGCGAGGACAATTTTAATCGACCATAAATCGTTTTTATTACGTGCCGGGTTATTCCCGGTTAATCAAGGAACAATGACGTAACCGACGTTGCTTAATTTGCTAAAACGTCGATGTATCTCTTCATCGAATCCCGCCGCCGCCGATGCAGTCTGGTCCATAATCCCATGCTAAAGTATATGATTAAAATGCATCGGATCGGCATCCGATCGGGATTCACGTATGTACATTTTAAGCAGCGACGGTCTGAACCCTCCCCCCTTCGCGGCACACGGTGACGTCTGCACGCGGGGAAGTTAAAGAGAAAAAAAAAAAACAAAAAGAGCCATCGACGAGAAAGTCTCGCCGGCGGAAAGCATGCACCGGTTGCCTTAACCGTGCGGGACATAATAGGTTTAATTGCCGTCTCTCCTTTTCCAGTCCTCCCCGCACGAATTACGCGGGATTATCTTTTTATAGAACGATTTCGCGGATCGTCGCGCGTCACGACGCGTTCTGTCCACGTAAATGGCGGCGTTTTTTTCCGTTGAATGTTTAAGGGGGACGATATGTCTTATTTCGTGAATAATGGCCGATACCGTGAGCCAGAGATATCTCCATTTTAGATGACCGACGGGAACGCTTTTTTAACCCTTCTATGGTGTTTCGGAGCTCTATGATGTTCCGAGCTCTACGGGATTATTCATACAAATGAATCAATTCGAATTAATCCTTTCGAGCATAATCATCTTTTTACAGATGCTCGTCGCCTCGCAAATCGTATTCGGCCCGATCGTTGTTTATGAAATTTCGTTGAATTTTTAAGCCGAGTTTAGACCTGATTGCGAATAATTTCATTAGAAATCATTTTATTACAAATAATTTGATCACAAATCATTTAATTACAAATAATTTGATCACAAATCATTTGATTACAAATAATTTGATCGCAAATCATTTTATTACAAATAATTTGATCACAAATCATTTTATTACAAATANTATAGAACGATTTCGCGGATCGTCGCGCGTCACGACGCGTTCTGTCCACGTAAATGGCGGCGTTTTTTTCCGTTGAATGTTTAAGGGGGACGATATGTCTTATTTCGTGAATAATGGCCGATACCGTGAGCCAGAGATATCTCCATTTTAGATGACCGACGGGAACGCTTTTTTAACCCTTCTATGGTGTTTCGGAGCTCTATGATGTTCCGAGCTCTACGGGATTATTCATACAAATGAATCAATTCGAATTAATCCTTTCGAGCATAATCATCTTTTTACAGATGCTCGTCGCCTCGCAAATCGTATTCGGCCCGATCGTTGTTTATGAAATTTCGTTGAATTTTTAAGCCGAGTTTAGACCTGATTGCGAATAATTTCATTAGAAATCATTTTATTACAAATAATTTGATCACAAATCATTTAATTACAAATAATTTGATCACAAATCATTTGATTACAAATAATTTGATCGCAAATCATTTTATTACAAATAATTTGATCGCAAATAATATTTCATCACAAATAATTTTACCGCAAATCAAATTTTATCACGAATAACATGATTACGCATTAGCGAATATTAATTGCGAAAGGGCGAATAAAACCAGCGAGCATTTTCGTTGCAAAATGAACGATTAGAGAACGTTGTTTCAGTTAATTGCGCGTGATCGGGCGCGCGTGTTTACCTGAATTCATCCCATTCCGCGGCAAAATCATTCCCGTTTTTCGCGCGTCTCGTTTACGAGCAACGGAAAGCAATTATGCTATGGACGTCTCTCGACAGGCAAATCAGAAGAAATCGTTATTACGAAGAAGATAATAGGGAAACGGTGATCGTGTGGCGTTACACGCGCCGCGGACCGATCGTCGAATCGAAAGTATCAGCGTATTGTGGCGCGTGGAAATTGGACTGTATCAAACCCGTGACATTCATGTCGAAGGCTACTTATCGATTGCGAAATCAAACAGGATGATCGAAAAGAGCGAAGATATTTTGAGGGCAAGTGGCCATTAACGCTCGTTAAATACACCAGTCGTTACCTTTCACAATGATTGAGCCTCGGACGCACGAACAATCCGACAGAAATAAGAGTATTGCATTAATCGGAGGCTATTTTAATTGGAACCAATATTTTGTCGGCATTCATCGTTGCCCGTCCGCTAATAATTCTTAAACGGTGTTGCCGCTTGCTATTAACGTGCCGTGTGAAATGGAAATATTTCTTGTTCGTTCGGTTTGGACGTTTCAATTGTTCCAAATGTTTCTAAGATACCGCGGTAAATTCTCTTCGGTTCTTCTAAATGAAAATGGAAGCTCAAGGGGAGAGCATTTACTGTACTTCCCTGGCTAGTTCAACTCCTTCCACCATGAAAATAAATAAAACTTGCGATAAGAATTTCACGCATAAATTAGTAAATATATGCAATTAATTGATATCAATAAATTAATTAATATTAATTAATTTCGTCTAAATCGTACCGTGCTTACTTCTCCAAATATTTCAACCCCTCGTCACTATAAAAACGAATTAGACTCGTGACAAAGATTTCATACATAAACTACTAATGCCAAAGGAGAAAGATAAATGACTCGAAGAGTCATCAATGATCTCTTAGAATTCTTTTGGCACTTGTACAGTCGAAGGAACGACTTTTCGTTATTGATATCCAGTCTATGCTTTCACACATCATTAACAAAAATTGTTAAACATACCTCTGTGCCAGATAAACAAATAATAAGCACAGAATAAAGGAGAGTCAATGAAATACCTTTGCTCGGGGACCTGTGCTCATCTCTGTTCCATTTTCTGATAAAAGTCTGCCGTCTGATCAGCAGCCTTCTTCTCGAAGTAGCGATTTCGAAGACAGGCGAGTCCCTTTGTCATCCGGCAGCTCGATTCGTTCTCCATTGAAATCCGAGAGAGCTACCGATCGATCGGCGTGCCAGTTCGATCATCGCTCCGCGATGCCCGCCTCGTCTAATTATGCAGTCCGCCCGCTAATTATGCAGTTATCCTGTAATTAGCAAGCCGGCCGTAGCAATTGCCCAATGTCTCTATTCACCGACAAATACATACGCGTATACATGTACATACATATAAATAGATATATAAATATATACATTACGGAAGAGAGTCGCGGGTGCGTCGAACAATTTCGTGAAAGTCCGAATGCGAAGAAAAGACAAGAGAGTCGGGTATTAATCGAGCCGGTTAACGAAAACGAGCGGCCGAAGTTCGCTGTCCTTAGATGGCTCGTAATCCTTACGTAGAGTCCTGTATCCTTCTTCGGTCCGCTCGATCCGCCATCGGACGAGAAAGATGCGGGACGAGAGCGCGGACGACGGCTGCGGGGGAAAGAAGAGACAGATAGAGAGTTGTCGAATTGCATGGAGATAGAGATGGAGAGATGGTGAGATAGAGAGATGGAGAGATAGAGCGATGGAGAGATGGAGAGATGGGGAGATTGAGAGATGTACAAGATTATAGTGAGAGGGAGGTATAGTGACAGAGAGATGTAGTGAAAGAGATATATAATAAAAAAGCAATATAGTGAGAGAGATATAGTGAAAGAGAAATATAATAAAAAAGCAATATAGTGAGAGAGATATAATGAGAGAGAAATATAGTGGAAGAGAAATATAATAAAAAAGAAATATAGTGAGAGAGATATAGTGAGAGAGAAATATATAGTGAAAGAGAAATATAATGAGAAAGAAATATAGTGAGAGAGATATAGTGAGAGAAAAGTATAGTGAAAGAGGAATATAATGAGAAAGAAATATAGTAAGAGAGGAATACAGTGTGCGTGTGAGAGAGATAAATATAGTAAAAGAGAAATACATACACAGTGAAAGAGGGAAAGAGAGCGACGACGCTCTCGAAGTTAATGATGCGCCGCATTGCGTTACAATATAGGATTCGTAACCCGTGAAATATGGAACGAACCCGTACACTAGGTGGCTGGTTGCCTGCGGTCCCACTCTTCTTCACCATTACCACCGTCACCGGCCGATTCAACACCACCGTGACACAGTTACACGGTGCCTCGCCGGTAAATCCTGGCCGCGCGTTGCACCAAACCGTGATCTAGAAACACGGATGAATCTCAGGGATATATAAAGCGGATTAGAAGCAAACTTTGTCATTCCCTCGACACCGTGCCACGGTGGAAGAAGGTGTGCGACACACGAGTCAAGGTAGTCATCGTCGTCGTCTTCGTCGTCGTCGTTCTCCTCCTAAGGAGCGGAATCGGCCAAACCAGGCGAAGATCGTCGTCACGGTAGCTCGCGTGATACCCGGCACCGGGTCCGTCTCCGTCTCACCTTCTCAAGGATACGCGGACCGAGGGAACGCGAAACGAACAGCCGCGGGAACGGTCGAGGTTTTATTGTTTCGACGGGACACACAGCTGCCGGTTCGCCGACATGTCTAAGGTGAGAAAGAAAAACATCGGGGGCCCGACCCGGGCCGCGAAGCGAAATTATATCTGTCGCAACTGATAAGCATCGAGGATGATGCTCGCGCCGGCAACAGGATTGTTGCCCCCCGGTTTAGACACGTCGTGGCAACGGTCCGTGTTTCGAAACCGAGGTCCGGGTTCCCGCCGCTTCCCCGGACGCGCTCGTAATCTTCTCGATTCCGAACCATGAGATCGCTGGCCGGGATCCGGCAATGCGTTCGCGTACATACTTCTCGGTTCTATTCGCCGGTTAGAACCTCGGGATTCGCGATAGAAACCTCTCCGGGCGAGTCTTGTGACAGCGATCGATACCGACATGGGACCTGCGATCTTTGTTTAGTCGAAATTCGGACGTGTCGTTCTTTGTATAGAAAATTCTCCCTAATTGGCGCTCGGCTTGCAAACGGAAATGGACGATTTCGGAGGAGGAGATGCGATTATTCGAGCCTTGCGACTCGTTTTTATGGTGACCGATTGTTAAGAATTATGAAATCGAGCCGCATGGCTCTAATAATCGTATCTCCTATTCCAGAATTGTCCATTTTTGTGCACAATCTGAGCGTCGATTAGGGAGAATTTATATCGCCGATTAATCTCCGTGGAAAGCAGAACGTTTTCATACGAAAGTTGAACGTTGAGCAATTGTCTGATCTGTTGCCAAAAATTGAGTTTCGTCGTATCGATAGATTCGGGTTGGTCCAGCGAGAACTTGGGATTCTGCATCTTACTTAATAGAGTTATAAAAGCAGGACGATCCATTGTTGTCCACGGTTATGTCAGATTAATATAAGAGTGAGTAAGAGAAAGTGCTAAAACGCCATATTTCAGATCCCGTGATCGGAGAAGTCGAATCAAGACACGTTTCAGTTCTCGGTGCTTTCGAAGAGTTTCGCGCGATGTCTGACCATTGCTCGCTAGTTCTACTTGTAGTATGCCAGCGTCCGTGTTCCGTCGGCCACCGTGCTCTCCACGATTTCTTTGTTCATTTACGTGTTCGTCGCATACGTAACGTTCGATTTTTATAGATTATATAAAACAGGAAGTAGTACGACGATTAAAAAAATTGAATCCGTCGAACGACAAACTATTAAGCAGGTAGAAGATCGTATGTTTGCAAAGATTGCTACAAGATTTACGTGAGATCTCCGATAAATAGACTTTACATAAAATACAATTCTACGAGACAGGAATTGAAGAAGAATATATTGTCCCTTTCAACAGTTTCACTAAATTGCAGTGAACGTAGACATCTTCTTAAATTCCAAGACCTGATCGTAAGACACTGGTGTCAATCACGGATTCAAATTCTTCTTCGAAAATGTTAACAATCTTATAATAGCACCGTCGATTCCCTTCAATCATTCGAATCAGTCCGCTTCACAAAATCGCTGCTCGTTTTCGCCACGAAATAGACCGCGGATTTCGTTTTATCTTAATATTAAAATTGACCAAGTGCAATTTGAAATAGCAAAGAGATCAAAAACATCCCTGTATTATCTTCAATCCGTTAAAACGCTTAAAGAAAGAACGAAAGAACTTGCTATTCAGTCTCTCCATTTTACAATTATCGCAGACAATTCTCATTTTCCATAAAAATCCGCGGTCTACCGATAAACAGACCGAAGTGTTCGACTTCCGGCCCCACCACCTATTCCCCGGTTTACCGATTAAGTCGTAATGTCCACGAAATCTCGCAACTTACAGATCGCGTTAGCGGTATTCGTGGTGGCCCTCAGCCTGGTGCGCTCAGAGCCCCCGGTGAACTCGTACTTGCCGCCTGGGGGCGGCGGTCCCGGCGGTGGTAGCGGCGGAGGGGGCGGCGGAGGGCCTTCGAGCAGTTACGGAGCACCTGGCGGTGGCAACGGCGGCGCCCCGTCGAGCAGTTACGGAGCTCCTGGCGGCGGAAACGGCGGCGCCCCGTCGAGCAGTTACGGAGCTCCTGGCGGAGGCAACGGCGGAGCCCCGTCGAGCAGTTACGGAGCTCCTGGCGGCGGAAACGGCGGAGCTCCGTCGAGCAGTTACGGGGCGCCAAATGGCGGTAACGGGGGAGGCGGCGGAAGCCCTTCGAGCAGCTACGGAGCGCCAGGTTTCGACGGGCAAAGCGGCGGTGGCAACGGTCTGTCGAGCACTTACGGAGCGCCTGCCGGTGGCAGGAACGGTGGTGGTGGCGGCGGAAGGAACGGGGGTGGCGGCAGAGGAAACGGCTTCGGGGGCGGCGGACAGCCGTCCAGCTCCTACGGGGCGCCGTTCGGCGGAAACGGCGGGTCGGGCAACGGCAGGCCGTCGAGCAGTTACGGAGCACCTGGTGGAGGAAACGGGTTCGGCGGTGGAAACGGCGGAGCGGGCAACGGCAGGCCGTCGAGCAGCTACGGGGCTCCGGAAGGTGGCAACGGTTTCGGCGGCGGCAACGGAGGCGGTTCTCCGTCCGGTCTTTACGGACCACCCGGAAGGAACGGTGGAGGAAACGGCGGCAACGGTGGTCGGCCGTCGAGCAGCTACGGGGCGCCGGATGCCAACAATGGGAGACCGTCGGGACTTTACGGGCCACCCGGCAGAAACGGAAACAACGGCGGTGGAAACGGTGGTCATAACGGAGGCGGCAGAGGAAACGGCGGATACCCGTCCGGCGGACCCAACGGCGGCGGAAGCGGTGGATACCCATCGGGAGGACCCGGTGGTAACGGAAACGGCGGCTATCCGTCCGGAAGACCCGGCGGAAATGGGAACGGCAACGGCGGTTATCCCTCTGGCGGACCCGGTGGCAACGGAAACGGTGGCTATCCTTCCGGTGGACCCGGCGGGAACGATGGTTACTCCAACGGAGGACCCGGCGGAAACGGCGGCGGTTATGGAAGCAACGGAGACGAGGAGAGTAACGTGAGTGAACGTTTTACGAGACACAGTAAGTTCTCCCTAATTGACGCTCAGCTTGGAGACGAGAATGGACAATTTGAAGAGAGGAAGTGCGATTGTTCCAGCCTTGCGACTCGTTTTTGTAGTTGCTGACAATCGGTAATTAGAAAAACGAGCCGCAAGCCTGAGCGTCAATTAAGGAGAATTTACCGTATCACCGACTTTACACTGGAGAGACCATTTTCTACTATTTGTCGAGGGTGTACGGACGCTTTGTTGCAATTTGGAAATTCCTCTTAATACGGCATATTTAATTGTTAATTAAATGATCGAGATACTAGTCTAATCACTTCATGATGCATAGTTCTATTCCAAATAGATGCAACAAATTCTATCCGCAGGCTACTCATAATATAATTCATAACAAACGCTTTGTCGAAGAAGAGATATGAATGCGAAGCTGAAACGGTAGTTTCATTCTCTTTCTAAAGGCGAGTGTCCATCTGAGAGCAAATCTCTCGACGGTTGCTCTATAGTTTCGTACATGCGGGATCCACCATGCCTTTTAGCCCGCCCGCGTCTTACCCAGCTGTGCTGTGGAGCCTCGTGGCTTGAGCCGAACTAGGGCCACTGCCAGATAACTACTCTTACAGTATAAAACCGATTCGTTTTGTGAGAGTAGTGACAGTGGCATCATTCGATGGCACATCTGACAGTAGCCTCGGTTCGACCCGAGCCTCGAGGGCGGGCCTGGCGGGCTCCGCATATACAAAACTATGGAGATTTACTCTCGGATGGACGCTCGCCTAAATGCTATAATAGAGAGCTTGTTCGCCCGTTGGAAATATCAGTCGGGAAAAAACGGAGATTAATGATCTAGGAGCCGGCAAAGTACGAATTCTCTTATGAGGTGAAGGACGAGCAGTCCGGCGCTGATTACGGACACACGGAGACCCGAGACGGCGATCGTGCCCAAGGAGAATTCAACGTTCTGCTTCCTGACGGAAGGAAGCAGATCATTGAATACGAGGCCGATCAAGATGGATTTAAACCACAGATTAGATACGAGGGTGAAGCGAACAACGGTGGATACGGCTCCGGTGGGCCCGGTGGCAACGGTGGCGGTGACTTCGGCGACAATGGCTATCCAAGCGGCGGTCCAAACGGAAACGGCGGCAATGGTAACGGTTATCCGTCAGGAGGACCTGGTGGCAACGGCGGTGGATCTGATCACGGCAACGGTAACAAAAAGAAAAAAGAAAGACAAATTTTGTCTCCAAACTGTAGGGTTTCATCGTTTACCTAAGGAAATAACGAGAACGCTCTTTGAAGCCACACGTATTCATACATAATTGGGTCCTTTAACAGGTTAGGTTTCGAAATTCATGGTAATCATAACAAATTGAACAGACCGAATGTTACCAAGATTTTTAGAATACGAAAGAGTCTAGCTAATATTTCCTATGGTAAATGTTAACTTTCTAGACCCGGCTATCATTCAATTAAATGACTTTGATATCGCGGGAATTTTTGGGATTGATATTCGATAATCAACGTGTTAACCTGTAGTGATAATTTATCAATTATTGTGATTCACCGGTTTGCGAACGATTCGACTTTCCTTCGGTGTCTCGTCACTTCGGACATAACCTTGTAGAAATCACTCATGATTTTCGACAGATTTTCCGACATCGTTGATTCAATATTTATCACAAATTATTCCGTTCCTTAATCCAATTGTAATAAGACTTCTTCCTGGACAACTACTTCTTCCAATTCAGAATATCGTTTAGCTCGTAATCAAGTAGTACTGCACTTACGAATAAACTTCTCGTTAACAATCATGCTTCGTTAGTATTTGCGCGCAACAATAGTATGTTAATCCTGTAAAATGAGTTACTAACGATCGCTTTGTCTTTCGCAAAAGGAGGATATCCGTCTGGAGGACCGGGCGGCAACGGCAATGGCGGCTACAGAAACGGAAACGGCGGCAACGGTAATGGTGGATATCCGTCAGGAAGTGGTGGCGATGCCGCTGCCAACGGAGGATACCAATATTAAATATTTAATTAGGCGTAGTGATATATATATGTATGTATATTCGTGCGTATACGTGCATATATGTGTATCGCGTGTATTACGAAAAGGGAATGCATAGGGCAACATTCTTCATAATGCATAGAATAATCATCGTCTGAAACAGAAGAAACGTGGCTGCCAATAATAATGATCGCAGGTAGTATTTTAACAACTATGATGGGATGAGAACGATCGTTCGCTTAAACGTGAACCAAGGATAAACATTTAAGTGGCAACGGTTTGCTCGTTTCAGACGTGATCTTCATAACTATATAGTACTATTATAGCATAAATGGAAAATTTATTTATACGATACACATGAACACCTCACAGTCGATGTTTAGGAACGAACGATACTGTTGGACATTATGATTGCATACAATCACGGTGGCATGTGTACTATATGTGTACGTTTCGCAGTAACACCGACGGCATCGTTCGAATCACTTAGCGATTGCAGCGTTACTTGACTGTCTCACTAACGCGTTCTTTCAATATGTATAAAAAGAATCTCATACATACACCTATTGGTTACTTTCACGTATGTTCGTTATTCAATTGCGTAAGTACCATTACTGTATGCATTGAACAAAATTGCATTTTTCTTCTTCTTCTTTTTTTTTTGCATCTTTGATATGTCTACCAGTTCACAACCATGATCAAATATTTCGCTAATTTTTAACGTTTGTTAAGATATTGTATTTATTTACTATTTATCCGTACTATGTATATTTCGATGATGTTTAAAATGTAGCTGTAGAAACGAACGTCCGCATAAATAAATACTGCGGTAGGCCATAATGTGTTCAGTTCTTCACTCACACCTTTACGACACAAGTTATTTACTCGCAAGCGAACCACTTCCAGTGAATACACTTCGTCAAGCGTCCTTAGCTTACTTAGAACAACTAATTAATTAATAGATCGTTGAATATGCACGTGGCATTCGCCGAGGCAAGTTAAAAAATTATCATGCTTTATTTTAATCTTAAATTACATGCTTGTAATTTAACTACATGCGAACGAGGAAATAATATTTATTAATAATTATCTTTTAATAAAACTAGATTATCATCAAGTAATATTTGAGTGCGTTAAATCTGCTATGGCTTTTTGTCTAAGTGTATACAATTTTTTCACCCATTTGTCGAACCTTGCTTCTTGATCAAGCATTATCTAGAAATGAAAGTAAACAACGAATATTAAGAACATAGAATGAATATCGGCTATGGAATAAATAGAAAATAGAAGATGAGTTACCGATGAATGAAAAATACTTTCTGATCCGCAAGGAATATCAGCTACTGTGGGAACCTGTATTGTATCTGCCGTAATATCTATCACAATATTCTTGAACTTTTTTTCTTTTGTATTAGACGATGAAAATTGCTTAGGTGCAAAACCTTCAGAATTTATTTCATCTAATACACCTTCCTTAAAACGTGGTTCAATTGGAAAGTCATCTGCAAGAAATGATTTTATTTCAGAGCTGATATGATAACATATATTTTTAATCTATAAACTATACCTTTTATGACTACTACATTCTTAGACTTTTCAGCCACAGTAGCTTTCAGATTGGATTGCGAACTACTTGAACAACTGCTTGATTTCTCTCTTGATATAGATCTTACTTTCCTTTTCGAACGATCCAAGGATCTTGATTTGGAACGATACCTATGTCTTTCTCTGCCTTTTGAACTACTATTCCTACAGCTTTTATAACTTTTTTGACTGCGCTCTCTATCTCTGCCTCTGCTCCTTGAGTGCGATCGATGTCTACGCTTTGTTTTTGAATGTTTAGATCCTCTTCTCCTATGTAGCGATGAGTCACTGGAGTCAGAACTAGATGATCTAAAACATAAAATATAGTTTCAATACTTCATATTACCGCAAAATTTCAATTATTCTTAAAAACGAATAAATAGCCAATACTCGCGATTTATGTGTGAATTAATATGTGTATTATTTCTTTGACATGCTCCTTACCTGGATCTTCGACCACGTCTTTTTCGATATCTACTGTTATGATCTGAATCAGATTCACTAGAATACCTTGCCATAATTGTCAAAAACTTCTTAGTTTACTTTGTGTGTAGGTTAAGTAGAATATTGTTGACGAACTAGACTGTATAATAAATATACTAAATCATTCGTTTTGTACAGGAAATTGTATAGGAAATTCGGTACATATAAAATGAGCACTACCTTCCTTAAAGATTGTTTTCAACTTTGTTCGACGTGGTTAGATAATTTGTATTATTATTGTAATTAGATGTGTTGCACTCTAGTGCAGACACAGCACAACTAACCATTACACTTAAAGATGAACTTGCCATATGACAGCATTGTGATTTTCAAATAAAGAAATTCTTAAATTGTCTATTGGGATTGTTACTCTGCCTTATTTAAAATACTGATAAATATTTAATCTTGCTTAAAGTGTTTCATTTTCCTTTTCTTCAAAACAAATCAAATGTGCCGCCAGTTATCGACTTGTGGCGCCTCTTGCGGTAAGATCATGAAGCTCTTTTCGGCCTCCGTACAGCGCCAATTAGTAAAGCGGCAAAACGCTGAAACTGCTAGCCAAAACAGAACTTCCAGATTTCGCCGCAAGTGGCGCCACTGTTTGGCTAGTAGTTTGGGCGTTTTGCCATTTACTAATTGGCGCTGTACGGACCTCGTACCGGAGCTTCCATTGTTCTCCACAAGAGGCGCCACTGTCAAATGCTTATACAGATCGAAAAACATTAATTATGGTAAAATTAGGACATAAAACGATAAACCAAAGACACAGATTTATTCAGGAGAATCTGCTGCATCGATTTAATGTTTAGAAACTGATGACAATAACACGAAATTTAATTAAATAATATAATAGTGAATCATACTTCAAAAAGCAATTAATTATGTTTCACGGGGTTGTCACTTGTTTTTTAATATCGTATCGATGCAGTATTTTTTACTGAATAGATCTGTGCTCTTAGTTTATAATATTATGCCCTACTTTTGCCATAATTATTGTTTTTAGGAGATGCAAATGAAAGCGAATGTGGCGCCTCTTCTGAGAAAACACTGAAGCTCCTTTCGGCCTCCGTACAGCGCCAATTAGTAAAGCGGCAAAACGCTGAAACTGCTAGCCAAAACAGAACTTCCAGATTTCGCCGCAAGTGGCGCCACAGTTTGGCTAGTAGTTTGGGCGTTTTGCCATTTACTAATTGGCGCTGTACGGACCTCGTTCGGAGCTTCGAAATTTCGCCACAAGCGTCGCCACTTGTCGCAAAAAGATTTTAAATTATTAATGATGAATTAGAATAATTCATGCTTTCCAGAAATGACACGATTTAGTTCTCCAAGTCGTTAATATCTCAGGAGTGAATAAAAAATCAAGAAGAAAGATATGATGAATGTTAATATACATAATCATTATTATTGTTATTATTTCGGTCGTAGTACAAAGTTTGTGAACACAAAAACAAATCTAAATGATTATCCTATGTATAATATTAAAAATCGTATTAAATTGCTTTCATTAGGATATTAAATTCAAACCAAGAATATTTGCTTTAGAGTCACCTGCAAGTATTGTTATAATTTTGCATTCAAGAAAATAGAGCTTATGATTTCTCCTGTATGAACTCGCTGACTTATCAACATGAAACTACTTTTATTTTGTTGTTTATAGACATTATGTATCAATCAGTTGCTTGTAACAATTATTACTGTGTGTTCCCCTTTTAAAACAATGCTAAAGCCAATGAGATAATTAACATACAGAAGTAAATTACAAATGCTTCAATGAAAGTATTCTGAACCTAATATTAAAGAGTAAGAATGTCAGAAGCTCTAGATTCTAGTAGATGCTCCATAGAGCTAACATCTTTACACCATCCATCGAGTCTTTGAACCATTCCAACTATTTGACTACGATCCAATACACGAGGCTGTACCCACGTCATATTCACTGTTCCAGCAACTTGATCGATAGCACCACGAACCAAGCCTTGTGCTAAAGCTTTCATTACTAACAGTTCTACTTCACCAAGTGGTAATCGAGTTTCCTGAGAAATTTCTGCAAATGTTAGTTGTCTGAAAGAGAAAAATACTCCGTATTAACACAACAAATTAACACAAATTGTTTATACTTAATTCTTAGTATTTCTTCAAACACAAACCTGTTGTTCGCTTGCCTTTTGAATGTCATTTCCATGAGACACAGCAAAGAAATTTTTTGTCTTAATTTTAATTCTTGTGCAACTAAATCAGCAACTTTACTCCATTGTGGTTTTAATCTTTCTAATGCAGCAATGTCTCCAGCATTAAAAGCTTGCAATAAATCGACCAACCACGAATTTGGTGTGCCCTTTAAAGATTGTAATACAGGATGAGCCAATAACTCTCCAAGATTATAAACTCCTTCGCCCAAAAGCGCAGCCAAACCAAGAAAAAATGCATGCTGCTCTTGTTCTTGTCTGCTTAAAGTATTTAGCTCGATACAACCCAGATATCTAAAAACACAAGATAAATTAGATAAATATTCTGTATTACAATACGTTTACATGGTTAAATTATTAGAAATGGGAAAATACCTTAGAGCGGTACGGTAGTATTCGGCATGTTTTCCTTGCAAGCGATAAAGACGACTGGCTAACAAATAAAATCTACCATGAACCGTAGTGACACCATCGGCGCTCTCTAACATAGATTCTACATCTTCTATAATCTTCTTTGCTTCTTCTTGGTTATTTAATTTATCCAATAAAATCTGTCCTATGAGGACTTTACACAGAGCCACAGCTTCGTTGCTACTTTTAACTTTAGCTTCGGCTTTTTCCAAAAACTTGATTGCCTCTTGTTTATCTTGAAACTGTTGTATTACATGCGATAGTATTTCCACCAATGATAAAGGATTTAGTCTGTATACAAGATACGTTCATGTATTATACATAAACTAATGTATCGTCATGAGTGAAATGGAGAAGTGAGGTTATGATTCAACATTTTCAAGCGATATATTTATGTATTGTACTTACTTATTTTCGAAGGTGGATAAAAAATTATTGTATAATTGTACCAGATTATCTCCTTTCGCAAGGGACGGATGTTTCACAAATGTTTCTAATTTGAGCGTAAGTTGATGCCAGAGCCTGCAAGTCACGGAACGTGACACAAATTTTCGATACTTATGTAGAAATGTAATTCGCCGTAATTCGTAGATAGTACCTTTTAATGTATAATTCCTCGATCTGCGCCCATTCAGCAGCCAGCTCTTTGTCTGCAACATTTTGATTTTGACTTAAATATGTAATAATTTCCTTCGGTGGTACGGGTGCCGTCATCTTTAATAACAATGACTAAAGCCGAATCAGCATAGTAAAGTTAGGCACACATCTCGTTTTACGCGATCGCATGAACCTGGCCGCGACAGCGCTGTTACAAATTTCCCGCAAAACGACCAATAAAAAGAGAAAGATTGTTTAAAATAAAAGATATAACATTTAATCGAAAAATTCTATAATTCATTTTTAATTTTATAACATCAGGGAATTCCAACTACGCTGAAAAGATGAGAAAAAGAACGGAGCTTTACTTGGTCGGTCGTTTTTACAGAAAAATGCTAATATATTCTCCTGCTCTGTATTCATTTTACTATTATCTACTTAATTTCATGCGAATGGAACTCTCCGAGACTTTTGGATAAACAATTTCTAATACGCATGCGTCCGTAAATAGGTCTTTTAAATTTACTCTGCACACCACGAACACACAGCTTTCGCTTTCAAAGTGCTATCATTTGAATTTATTAACCCTAATTCTTACTTCCAAAATACAATCCAATTATTGCAGAAATTATAATATTATATTAATATTATANTTGCTACTTTTAACTTTAGCTTCGGCTTTTTCCAAAAACTTGATTGCCTCTTGTTTATCTTGAAACTGTTGTATTACATGCGATAGTATTTCCACCAATGATAAAGGATTTAGTCTGTATACAAGATACGTTCATGTATTATACATAAACTAATGTATCGTCATGAGTGAAATGGAGAAGTGAGGTTATGATTCAACATTTTCAAGCGATATATTTATGTATTGTACTTACTTATTTTCGAAGGTGGATAAAAAATTATTGTATAATTGTACCAGATTATCTCCTTTCGCAAGGGACGGATGTTTCACAAATGTTTCTAATTTGAGCGTAAGTTGATGCCAGAGCCTGCAAGTCACGGAACGTGACACAAATTTTCGATACTTATGTAGAAATGTAATTCGCCGTAATTCGTAGATAGTACCTTTTAATGTATAATTCCTCGATCTGCGCCCATTCAGCAGCCAGCTCTTTGTCTGCAACATTTTGATTTTGACTTAAATATGTAATAATTTCCTTCGGTGGTACGGGTGCCGTCATCTTTAATAACAATGACTAAAGCCGAATCAGCATAGTAAAGTTAGGCACACATCTCGTTTTACGCGATCGCATGAACCTGGCCGCGACAGCGCTGTTACAAATTTCCCGCAAAACGACCAATAAAAAGAGAAAGATTGTTTAAAATAAAAGATATAACATTTAATCGAAAAATTCTATAATTCATTTTTAATTTTATAACATCAGGGAATTCCAACTACGCTGAAAAGATGAGAAAAAGAACGGAGCTTTACTTGGTCGGTCGTTTTTACAGAAAAATGCTAATATATTCTCCTGCTCTGTATTCATTTTACTATTATCTACTTAATTTCATGCGAATGGAACTCTCCGAGACTTTTGGATAAACAATTTCTAATACGCATGCGTCCGTAAATAGGTCTTTTAAATTTACTCTGCACACCACGAACACACAGCTTTCGCTTTCAAAGTGCTATCATTTGAATTTATTAACCCTAATTCTTACTTCCAAAATACAATCCAATTATTGCAGAAATTATAATATTATATTAATATTATATATTATATTATATTATATTATATTATATTATATTATATTAATATTTTAATTTTTTAAATTATACTGTTTTTTTATACCTTGCTACTTTCGTGTTTCTTAGCTCTTACGATGCTGTGAATGATTCGAAACCATGAACTTCGAACTATCACGTCTTGGAAGAGATTTAACAAGAAATATATTTTTTAAATGTGAATGGAAAGTAATTTGCTTGTTGATTGCACGCGCTGTATCCGCTTTCGCAATTTTTAGGGCTATTTTCGCGCACGAACGTGCACGGCCACGGAGAAATTTGCCATTGGATCTGTGACCGGTTCAGCAAAAGGGTACATACACATGTACGTGATACGTAACGCAAGTGCAATGTACAATTGGAACCTGGAAAGGAAAGCATGTGGGGCTTGCCGTTATCGTGCTCTATCTGCTCTAATCAGCTCTATCTGCTCCACCGTGCCGTTGAAATGAACATCACAGCTTCAACTTTAGAACTAAAAAATATACATTTCACAAATTTGTGTCTCTGGTATACTTTGTGAACTGTCTTCCTACATTGTGTGTCAAGTTATCTTCTCATTTCTGCATAATGTGCGGTAGTATGCAATATATGTATGTACGTAGCTGTCTTTCTTTAACATACTCCAATCCGAACGAGAGCGAAATGCTTGTCAGCAATGTATACATATAAACTGCTGGTTCAGCAAGTTAGTTTACTATATTGTCATTGTGTGGTGGGTTTCCCCGAGAACAAATTATGAATTCGTTAAACTAATCTAACCGATGTAGTATATGAAATAAAAGAAGAAACGCTAAATTCGGTAGTTGATTTCCGTTATTATATCGATCGATTCTTAATGAATAAGTTAACGATAAGCTTTGAATGTGATAAACCCGTACGATTGTTTATCTGAGATATTGTCTCTAAGCACAAATGTTTAGAAATGTTGGATATTCAACGAATCTTGACGGCTACTACTGTCTTACTAGTGGTTAATGCTTGTGATGCTATCCATACACAGAATCTGTCATTTACCCCTATTGTTACCGAGGCAGAATATGGAAAAGTATATGAGCTTGTTATAAATACTACTGTTGAATATGTCTTTTTATATCGCACCGACAATGTAAGTATTTACATCTGTATTAATATTCTTATCGTATTCTACTTGTATATTCAGTGATACATTTATGCACATAATAGGCAACTTGGATGGAAACTGCGAGAATCAATGTTGAAAGCGATGCCTCTCATGATCGACCTCTCATCGTAGTCGTACGTCAGAAGAGACAAATTTTGTCGTGGCAAATACCTCTTGTAGTGACTAGCAAATATTTTGATAGCGTAGCTTATAATAAAACCAGTCGTACATTGTGTTCAACAAAAGATTACGAGGCAGAATATGGAGAAGGGGACGAAGAATTTATTACTGTTAGTATATCTACAGCTAGTCACAAGAACATTTCATTTAAACTGAACGTAACACAGGATCTCCATTTCTATTTAAGGTATTCATTTAGTTCGCCTTGTCTTTAATTACTACCCATTAATCAATAAAATGTATAGTATCAAGAAATCTTAATGACAGTGACTTGTATTATCTTTTAGATCAGGTGAAGAAAGATCTGTAACGATTTCACCATCTGAACCTAACTATTATGGTTATACCTTCCCAAAAGAAGCAGAAAGTTCTTCGGTGATTGTGCATGTTGAATCTGGGAATGATATTTGTATGACAGTTTCAATACAAAATACTTCTGTAAGTTAACTTGATTGTGAACACGGGAAAGCATAATTTGAATTATACATGTACAGAATATTTCAATAGCTACTTGAGTAGCAATGTTTTTCGTTTCGTAATTGCACTAATATATTAATATTTTATAATAGTAGGTATTTTTATTTGTTCTCAGTGTCCTGTATTCGATTTAGAAAGGAATATCGAATTTACTGGTGCTTGGCAAACTGTAACTCGTAAAGGTGGTATAACTGTGCCAGTAAGTATTTTTCTTAACTTCTAGAAAACATAACTATTGATAAAATAAATGCAATCAATTGTTTCAGTACAACATAATTAAAACTAAACTTAAACTTTCATTATGGATTTTTAGAAAGAAGCATATCCATTAGGCTTTTTTGTTGTGTTAGTCGTAAAAGGTGATGACAGTGATTGTGTTGGATCACCTAGTATAATGTCTGTAAGAAATAAAGATGTGAAATTAAAAATAGTTAACAGTGTTACAAAACAAGATTATCTTATTGCATCGGGAGTTGCCATATCTGTTATAGGTATTTTCGTTCTGATTTATGTTGTGGGCACTGTAGTAACAAAAATTAAAGAAGGTAGAAAAATTGCCCAGGAAACACTGAACGAACAAGAAGATGAGAACAGTGTGGAGGTAGGATTATTAATGTAACCAGATGGAATTACATTAAAATATCAATATCAATTTAACAAGAGATTATATATCGCAAAACGGTTTCAGATCGGAATTTATATTTTTTGATATTGGATTTAAAGCCTTTAAATTGTGACTTTTTAGTTTACAAAATATTTAAAACATTATTTATATTTTAGGCTGGACCCTATCAGTCTGAGACTGTTGAATGTGAAGATTCTTCACTTGATGAAGACGACATTGACCTATTGGAAGACAGTGAATATGACAAAGATGTTATACGAACGAAACTTGTGCTTTCGGTGTGCGATTTGGCACGCAAAGACCCAAAGATTCTGCGACACAAATCCCGATTGTATTTATATTATTTAATAACGGTTGCTATATTTTACACATTGCCCGTTGTGCAATTGGTGCTAACGTACCAGAACGTGCTTCACGTTACTGGAAACCAAGATATGTGTTACTATAATTTTCTCTGTGCTCATCCATTGAAACAGTTGTCGGATTTCAACCATGTGTTTTCGAATTTTGGATATGTTATATTGGGTCTTTTATTTATTTTCTTAACAAATTCTCGGGAGCTTAATGCAGTCGATAGAGAGAGAAATAAATTTTACGGTATACCGCAACATTATGGCTTATTCTATGCAATGGGCACTGCGCTAATTATGGAAGGAGTACTCTCAGCAAGTTACCATGTGTGTCCAAATCACAGCAACTTCCAATTTGGTAACATGAATATTACTTAATATTATCAATGCCATAGTACATTTAATATTGTAATTAATATTTCTCTTCATGTTTTTTTAGATACCAGTTTCATGTATATGATAGCAGTGCTTTGTATGATAAAAATTTATCAAACCCGTCATCCTGATATAAATGCTCGGGCACCGGTCACATTCGGTATACTGGCATTCGTAATTTTCATCGGACTAGTTGGTGTCCTGGATGGTTCAACACTTTTTTGGATCATATTTACAATCGCACATTTGTCTATTTGTTTGTTCTTAACAATCCAAATTTACTACATGGGGCGATGGAGGTGGTATGGATTCAAAAGTGTTGTTATGAGGATAATACAGGTAATTTCATATTATTGCCAATAATAAGTTCACCGATCTTTTTTAAATGAATGATTTTTACAGAACTGTAGATACGACGCAAATGTGGGAATTGGATATATGCTCCGACCGTTGTATTTGGGTCGATTTATAATGCTTGTCGTAGCAAATTTATGTAACGTTGCTCTCGCGGTATATGGAAATATAACTCACGAGAAAAATTTTGCAACGTTCTTATTAGCCATACTAATGTCCAATTTAATTTTGTATACCTTTTTTTACATCATAATGAAGGTAAGTGTAGACAAAGCGCACACATGTTCAAGGAGTTTGATTAATTATTAATCGGCTTTGTATTTCAGAAATGTCATAAAGAGCGGATTTTATTGCAACCATTAGCTTATCTTATTTTGTCGGTTGTAGCCTGGGCATCTGCCATGTACTTTTTCATAAACAAAACGATTTCGTGGGCGCTTACCCCAGCAGAATCTCGACTTTACAATCAACCCTGTGTGCTACTTAACTTTTTCGATAATCATGACATTTGGCATTTTTTGTCCGCTTTCGCTATGTTCTTCTCATTTATGGTTTTGCTTACCCTGGACGACGATCTTCTTGACGTACACAGAAGTCAAATACCAGTCTTTTAAGGGTAATAACACGATAAAACGTTAATTTGGAATTTTCTATTTTTACCTCTTTATGAGAATATGACTGCATATAATATACATTTTACCTCGATTTTAATGAATTAAAAATAGTATAAAATATATATGTATATATAAAGATCATATAGTAACTATTTTGTATTAAACGCTTTAATTCCTTTAATCACTCAGATTCATAAAACTTTTCATTATTTATTCCTTACAATCAACCCGATCTTCAATAAAATATTAATTCTTTAAGTGCAAAGGAAGTTTTTTTGATATTTCGTATTATGATTATGAGAAAACAGTATTTAACATTTTGGTAAAACTTACCCATTGACTTTGTCTTACCGATACAATGGAAAGATGGCGTGTACGATCGTTTTAGTTAGTCGTTCGGTAAAATTAAACGCAACGAACGAACTTTCTTCTAAAAATAAATATATGTATATATACGTGTAAATATATATATATATATGTATATATATGTATATATATATGTATATATATACACACATAACTTCTATATTCATGAATACACTTATCGTAAACGATGGGCATACTTTGCCAATGGTTTAGGAAACGGCAGTTACACTGTCTGATACTCGATAGCATCATCCTTGAACAGTATTAACGTACATGTTCGCCATTTTTACTTTCTAGCATCAAGTAACGCGCTATCGATAGAAACAGGTATTAACTTTTCGAAATTATGCTATTCCCGTAGAATTTACTATTAACAAGATGATATAACGAGCGTCTGTACAATTAATTCTAACGGAGTTACATACACCAGGTACGTGGATAGGCAGAGAATCTTGTGAATTTTATCAAAAATATTAAGACGAGGCACTCGAGTCATTATGATGTTCTTGGGCAGTGGTCTCTAGTTGCGATAATGTCCTAAGCAATTCCGCGCGTTCTGTCGGCTGTAACCTATGGGCGATTTCCAAGATTGCAGTTAGCCTGACCTCCGGACAGGCCTCAAGAGCCTCTTTGATTTGCGAAACAACTGCATCTTGCTTTACGCAGGTTATATTTCGTGCAATAACACTGTTCTCGCTTTGGCGTTGACTTTCCAACCAGTTGGTTGCAGCTTCATCCTGATCCCACAAGTAACACTCGGTCGGGCCTTTATCTTCTATGAACCATCTCCGCAACATCGCACCAACTTGCCTGACATCGAAACGCGGCTGGGTGGACAAGACTTCTTCCCTTATTTCATCTTCCAGAAGCCTTCTCCTGAGCCGCCAATAGAGTAACCTACGCGCCTTTCGCCAAGGAATTATGTCATGAATCGTGCTCTTCTCGAACATTCTCTCCGGTGTATCGTGGAGATCCGCAAAGTGGACTGCAACTTGACGATACATGGGTTCTAATTCCAGTTCTCGCTTCCGTATTTTAGACTCGATTTCTGTTCGTTCTTCTGGTGTATTTACATTAGATAATTTTTCCTGAAAGAATATTTACATTTGACGAAATCTATTCGTAAGCATATAAAAATACTGTGTTCGTGTAGCAGGGCATAAAACAATCACCTTGAGTTTTATAATCACTGAATCCACTCTGTGCATAGTTTTAACTAAATCTTTCGTCCTAAATTTGATTTCAACTATACCCTCAGGTTCCAGAACACCAGCTCTGCTTGTATTGTCAGCGAACATTTCCATGTAACGAGGGTTTATAGTTGGGTCGACTACAGCCCAAGCGCCACCTCGTAATTCTCCATTAGGTGGAATATACACAAATATCGGTTTTGAATATTCCCGTAAACCGTCTACTATGTACGCACCGAATTTGATGATCTGCTCGTACATATCTGTAGTAAAGTACATTGTTTATATGTACTATAAAAAATATTAAAAATAATATTCATAATTGCCGGGAATATATAAATACCTTTCATTCCACCAGAGAATCCTCTCCAGTTGGCGAAGATGAAAAGTGGTATCTCTTCTTTCCTAAAATCTTGGATAGCTTGGGCAGTTTTGTACGCGCTGTCAGGGAACCATACTTGTCCTGCTTGGGATATAGTTTTCGCCTCTGAGTCGAGATTGGCAGGATCAGCTGGTAAATGCAGCTCGACACACCTTGTTTCAACTGCGATAACACCGCACGGAATTCCGCCTAATCGGGCTCTTCCGGTTACCACAGTTTGAGCCCAGGGTCTCATTATTTCCTACAAAAACGGAAAGGTTAATTATAACTATGAAGATTTTTATAAAAAAATATATAACACAAATTCCGGATAGATGGAAGACTGTATAAGTAGCGATTGATTATAAATTCGAGTTGATAGACTTGTAAGGTAGTAAATGTCATACCTGCCAAGAACCCCGATCAAAGAATCCGCTTTCCCAGCCATTTATTTCATTCTGCGACTGCCTGCCATCGAGCATCCACCTAGGATCGTAGGCTGTCTTTGTGGGCACGTAACCGATTTCTCTGTCAATTGGATCGGGAAGCGGCGACGGTAGTATAGGAAGTGGTGCACCTTTGAACTTAGGACAATAGCTCAACCACCTTAAAGCGGTTTCGACACCATCCAAGTCTCTTTCGTCCGTTGCATGGGACACACCGTTGTAATGCATAATTTGTATACCACCCAGTTGATTGTTACTCGCGTACACTTCGCGACCCAATACGGTATTCAATGCTTTGTAACCGGTCAAGATAATGTGCGAGTTCTCTATCTGAATGACTCTCTGTCCAAGACGTAACAGGTATGCTCCAATACCAATAGCTCTACAGGATACGATAGAAATTGTAATTATCTCGTCGTAAGCTCTGGACGTTTCGCCAGCGATCATGCCGGCGTATTTCAAGTTCTCTACACCAAGACCATCATCCTTGCCGATGACGTCCGTAATTTTGTAACGAGATTCTCCCCGATCTTCGATCAACGAAGCCTTCACGGAATTAAGCGGCGCTAACCGAGCATAGTCGTCCGGTGTCAAATAAATATATTTAAATCCTTTCTCCGGTTCGTTCTCATCTTCCCAGCAGATTTTAAAGAGCGCCTTCACTTCTTCCGCCAGACCAATGCGCGCTCCAGAATTCGCAGAGAAATAAACTCTGGGAATGCCAAGCTGTCTGGCTCTTTCGGATGCTCTGCAGAATACCAAGTCTTCTTTCGGACCAAAGGAACCGATTAAATAGGTCAAGTCGTTTGCTATCAATATAATGTCCCGGCCAGTCTCCGGATATTCAGGTGTGTACAGTTTTAATCTCCAAGCCACCATGCCAACATTATTTTCACCGGGAAGTCGCTTTTGCTCCACTAAATTGTCACCCTCCATGACCAATTCTACGCAATCCATCACTGGATTTGGAACAGTTATATTGCAGTTCGACCTCTCTTCTATGTACTTCTGCCAGATCTTTTCGGTTTGTTGCCTGAACATATCAGGCAAATCATACACGTATGTCGTACCGGCGCTTTGAGCCTGGAATCGTTTTGCTTGAAGATAATCTTTGGTTAAATATGGCGTGGAAATCTGCAGACCATGCATGGATCCCGACTTCCGCAGGTCGGTGGACTCGAAGCGAATAATACCAGTCTTTGGATCTGTCACCTCTGTGTACAGATGCAAGTCTATGCTATAACCGCTGTCATTGGCGATGCACAAGCGTATGATGCTTGCCGGCTTGCCCGGAGCTGGACGAATTGCCATTTTGATCTCGGCATGACGTACCCTCAGTTTCCACAACCGAGAACCGTATCTCAGAACCATATCGTTCACGCTCTCTTCCATTTTCGCTGGGTCCATGATGACCGTGGGAACAAAGTTCAGGAATATGTGATTGCACTCGGTACGCTTAGCGAGCGGATGCGAGAAGGCGACTTCCAATTCGTCCATGGCCTCCAATAAAACCCGTTCACCTTCGTTCTGAAGATAATCGAAACTGGCCTCTTTGGTAATTAGATCGGAGTGTCTTATGATAGAACGGATGAAGAACCGATAATCGGTGACTTGTTGCCCTTTGGCGACCTTCGCGTGGCCAAGATAAAGATGCATCTTTTGGTTTGAGGTAGGTAGAGCTTCTAGGTCGTAGGTTCTCATTCGGTTCAATTCCAACTGGAACGCGCACCCTGGCTCGAGGTGCCGATAAATCTTGTCCTCCAAGAAACCGTCCCTCTGACGGAAGGTGAAGAATTTCGGGAATTGCCTCTTCTTCAAAACAGCGAACGTTACTCTTCTGATACCTCGCGAGATCAGTTCTTCTTTGTTCGAGGTACACCAGCCTCCGAACACTTGCGCCAACGATTCGTCATCGTGATTCTCTACGTTGTCTTGGACGGCGACGCTAAGGATGTGCACCGGTTCGGCAGGCCTCTCGCCCAGTTCAACCGCAACGACGGGTTCCGCGTTACTCATAGACACGTTTATGGACGTGCTATGCCTGGATTCGCTGCCAGCCGCATCCACTGCTTCCAGAACTTTGGCGGATATCGAGCTCGGCGAAGAGAGGTCTTCCAACAGATCGAGCACCTCGTCGGAATATCTGATGAATTGTTCCATGTCTTGGAAAGCTGCCATGGCTCCGATCCTGTGATTCACCGAAGACTGACTCTGCCGGTTCGGATGATTAATGGGCAACAGAAACTGGAAGTGTACGAGAGGAACCTCGCCGGACAATTCCAAATGCTGCAAACAGGTCAATTCGTAACTAATGTAGGCTCTTCTAACGTAGACTTCCAACGCGGCGTTGCAGACCGTCCGATTGGTATGATAAAAGAAATCGTGTAGAATATCGAAGATCGATGTCTCGGAGAGAATTAGTTTCTGCAGATTCTCCGGGTGGAAATCGTGACCGTACATGTCCACTGCCGACAAGAATATAGACTCCATTTGGTTGTGTCTCAATTCGTAAGCAGGCTGATGGGCAGCGATCAAGATCTGTCTGGCCCGTAACGCAACTCTGCTATGTTCTGTACGATTCAAGCTAGTCAACTCTGTCAATGTACTGGACAGCTCGTCCGTGAGGCCGGGCTCGTTCGCCCAAATGTGATCGATTAGCATAGTAACTAGGACGTTCTTCTTGGTAACTTGGTTGTGACTGAAAATCATTCCTGTCACTGTAGCCACGTCATCCTTGTATTCGTCTATCAATGCTGAAACACATTTGTCGTAGTGACCTTGCTGGAATTGGGACTCGACGGTGTAGTAGAGCCTGAGAAGTTCGTGAACGGCGGTCTTCATTCTTCCACGTATGCCGTTCCGATATTTTTGTACCAACTGAACAATAGCTTGCGTGGTCAAGAAGAAAACGTCCCGTTCGGATCGCTTCGATAGCGACGCCGCGTGTCCATCGATCACAGCGGCGATCTGCTGACTAGGAAATTGTGCTAAAACAGAGGTGATATTCCTTTCGTACAGGGACATCAATTTCCTAATTTTCTTCTCAACAGAAATTGGAATTCTGCCGGATATCGTGGCGATCACCTCTTGCAGTTCGAGCAAAGGCAAACTAGGGTCGCGCAACGAGTTCATAAACATCTCGAGAAGTTCGCGTACGCGCGGTAGATGGTACGGATCGGGCAAGCAATATCCGCCCAAAATGTTCTCCAAACCCTCTCTGTACTTAGCATGAAGATGGTTCAATTTCTCCGAGATAGCAGGAGCTTCGGTTTCCGGGAACTGGCCAGTGTAGTCCTGGGCTTTGGTTACTAGACTTGGGTCGTCTAACTCTAAATGCGCAATCAGAGTACCAGCGTCGAGGACCGCGCCAGGTCTCTTGATATAGAAAACGCTTCCAGCTTCGCTAGCGGTCACCGACATTACCATTTTCATTACTTCGATCTCCGCGTAAGCCTGTCCGGCGTTTACGTGACCGCCGTCCTCAACCAGAAAGCTGATCAACTTCCCGGCCGAAGGTGATCGCAACAAAGATGGATCGTTGTCTTTCTCGAAGACGCAAGTTTGGTTTCCTATTACAATTCTATAACGGTCGACCTCCTCTCTCATGTAGGTAGTGAAACTAGCTCCGTCCAGAGAGAGCAGCAGACCGCCGTCCGAGAGTCGATGTACTTCTACCTCTTTGTAAGAACCATTCATGCTAAGAAAGTAACTGTTGGGTCCTGATTTGGCTGTTTGTACTTTGTATTTGTACCCATCGTTAATGAGTTCAACCTGAAATTCAAAGTAATGGTCAATTCGAATGAAACGTAGAATTAATTTAGTATTCAACCCTGTACTACTCTCTGCCGAAGTAGCAAACTTTTAAGATACTTGAAAGCAATAATGTTCTTGATTTCGAAGAGCAAGGCAGTTTTTAATTGAAACAATGATTCATTGAAATAAAAGGAGTGAGAAGCATATTGTTATAGTTTATCTAAAGAATTACTAATTTCCTAGCGGTGTCAAGTACTCACGTCGACTACGTTCTCCAAGTCATTACCAGCTTGTATCTGTCCCTTCTCTAATGCAGTTTGGAATCCACTGAAAGCAGCTGTGATAGTTCTATCAGCTATATGAAGAGCGCCGCAGGTTACAGCTAGCAATACGTCCGGCTTTTCGCTTCTAACACGTTCAGAAATTAATAGATCAAGCCAAGCTGTGTCTATATTATTCTGCTGGAAGGATTCTGTTTCTAGTAATGTGATCAGATATTCGACGGTTGTTCTAAAGTCACCCCTGATGCTCAACTCCTTCAGAGCAATGACCAAATTTTCTCTAGCTTGATTACGATCTTCTCCCCAAGAGAAACAGTGACCGAACTGCGAGTCCGCGAATTCATGAAGACCGCCAGAAGCGCCTACTGAGAAGTAGCCCCATACGTTCTTCGAGGATCTAAAGTTCAGTTCTTGGACAGTACCGGAACTTGGTTTGAAACCTGAAAAGTATATTCTTCATGGTCTTCTCTGCATCGATCTCGCGCGTAGCAAATATTAGAGATAACAATTTCTGTCGGTGCACTCCAATTGCATCGTGAACGTGAATTATTCATACAATTAAAATGATGTCTACCTTCGTCCGGATTTTCACTAGTAATTCTTGCCGCTATTACGTGACCCCATGGTTGCGGTTTGTGCCGCGGCTGATCGAAATCAATAATGCTGTCACCCCATGGACTTTCGCCATAAAGAAGACGAATATCCTTGATGTGATGAAGCTGCAATCCCATAGCGATTTGAAGCTGGGCAGCCGGTAAATTGACGTCAGACACCATCTCCGTGCAGGGATGCTCCACTTGCAGACGCGGATTCAACTCCAAGAAGTAATATCGCCCAGAAGTGTCGTACAGGTATTCCACAGTACCTGCGCTGACGTATCCAACCATTTTGGCCAATCTAACAGCGGCCTGTCGTGGAACAATATAATAAAATGTGTTTCACTCGGGTGTAAAATACTATTCCGCGTGCATTTGAATCGGCTATTTCATCGTCGCGACTCGATAGCCGTGTACCGTTAGCAATTACCTTCTCCATCTCTTCGAACACTTCCGGTTTGGCAATTACGGCTGGCGCTTCTTCAATAATTTTCTGATGTCTTCTCTGAATGGAGCAATCACGACCGAACAACGATATCGCGTTTCCATAATTATCTGCTAATAATTGAACTTCCAAGTGGCGCGCACACTTTGCCAGTTTCATAATAAATATGGGAGACCCAGGTATCTCGGTTTGTACCTGTCTATAAAGAGAATTTACAAGTTTGTCAGTAAACGTCTTTCTTCACGGACATCTTTCACGTCGTTGTTGTAATTCTAAGATGTACCGGACACGTCTTTTTTGAAAAACGAATTTACGCGAGCTCGAAGCATTTAACGGACAAGCTAGTGTTCACGCAGATTACGTATCGTTGGACATTCATTTACCTAAACAACGTAGGCAATTCTTCGGCGTTCTCTACTTTTCTGATGCCCTTGCCACCACCACCTTCGCTGGCTTTCACCATTACCGGAAAACCGATCTTGTTCGCTGCCGCCAAACATTCTTCCACCGTCGAGACGCATCCTTTTTTGAACAGTTCCGACGATATCTTTATCTTCTTCCCGCTGTACTGAGCCGTCAGCTCCGATCCTGACCACGGTAATGTCGGCACATCGGCGGTTTGCGCCACTATACTTGAGGCGATCTTGTCACCGAGGGCCCACATAGCTCTCTCGGACGGCCCTGAAAGAATTTTTATTCGTCTTAACCGTATTGTCGTTGTCTCATTCGCTTTTGTTACACGGGACTCTTCAAATACTGGTAATCATATTATTTGATCATATAGGTAATTTTGAAGCTGTGCTTAAGCTGTTAAGATTTCAAGTAGTCTGTCTCAAATACTATACTACAACAATACATACTATACTGTACAATACTAAAAGCAAAAACTCGAACGCCGATGAATCAAACGGATTGTTAAATTTACTTTCAAGTAAATTCTTCCTAATTCTCCTTCAACTTATAAACAAAAATGGACAATTTGTTAGTACATTTTTACAGTTTCCGATTATGAATAATTATAAAAACGAGATGCAAGGCTGGAATAATCGTATTCCCTCTTCCAAAAGTGTCCATTTCCGTTTACAAACTGAAGGAAAATTAGGAACACTTTACTCTACTATACAAATCTAGTTTTATTCGACTTTCGTTGACCACGATTGACTCGAACAATTTCTATTTGTCCATAAAGATCCGCAGATCCGCATTTCACCCAATCGTCTCTGCCATAAACGCGTCAAATCCGCGATCTATCTGTTACATTCCGAGCTCTTCGGGATCCGTGTTGCTCGCACCGGTCGAAGAAGAAACGAACATTCGAGACAACCGAATGTTTAATTCATCCTATCATCTCGTCGAGAGGACGGTGTCCCGGTCCGTCTCTCCGAACGTACCGATGAAGCTGATGTTGTTCTTGTGAAGCAACTCCGGCAACTTCGGATTCTCGGACGCGTGACCCCATCCAGCCCACACCGCCTGGACCTGAAGCCGAATGGCGATGTCGACGATCAGCTCTACGTTCGCGTAATTGTTGTTGTTCGTGCCTCCGGGTACAGGAACATACTGATCTGCCATTTTGATGTACTCCGCGTTCGCTTTGAGATCCTCCGGCGTGACCATCACGACGAACCGAACGGCCCGCTCGATCTTGAACATCTCGTAGGACCAACGACGTATCGAACGCATGCATTTCACTGCCGCTATTCCGTTGTTCGCGATCAGCACCTGCGCGAACAGAATATTCGATGAATTAAATTTGTTCGTTTATATCTAAGGAATTAAATGATTCTTGTAAATAGTCGGTCCTATGATCTTCGCTCGAGAACAAAGGAATTCCGAGGAATTTATCAGAATTTATCAACCCTAAAATTAATGAAACTTCGCGTACAATTTTAGCAAGCTCCGTCTAATAGAACAGTATTTTCGTATCGATTTCAATAATTCATTGAAATTTCAATTTCGCTGTTTGGACGACGAAACGCCATGGACAACATCTCGGATTCGTAATCGCACACACTTTGTTAGAAAGGAAATCTATCGTTTCGAGGGTCCGCGTTACGTCGCGCGATGTCGAAACAGGTACTGTGGATCTAGTACCGAAGGTCATTCAAGGTCAGTTATAAGGCCTTGGCCGGTTAACGTTCGTTGCGAAACGGTACGGCGAGTGAGTGCCGCGTAATATCCTCGAGCCGCGCATCTGCGGCGTTGAATGACCTGCTTCGGAGGGTTTATCTCGTCTCGAATAATCGTGATTCTACAATTTCAATTGCCGGATCGTCTGAGCGAACGACGCCACGTTTTATTTCACCCTCGAGAACTATCCTTTTTCATCGCGTTCTTTTTTAAGCGTATTTTTAAAAAAACATGTCCGCACGAGAACATTGATTCAGGAGAAAAGCTGAAAGTACGCTTCGAATGTTGAACGAACGAGCTATTTTATTCCTTTTATTCTCGAATTTTACCTTTCGAACGCGCCATCTTACTATTCTGTTTCGGATTGATAAAGTATCAGCCGGAAGGAGACATTTAAAAAAAGAATCCACAAGAGTCCACAGTAATGTCTCCCTTACTGACGCTCGGATTGCCCACTAAAATGGACAATTTGGGAAGAGGAGACACGATTATTAGAGTCTTCTAGCTCGTTTTTTATAGTTGTTGACAATTCGTAACTACAAAAACAAAGCGCGAGGCTCGAATAATCGCATCTCCTCTTCCCAAATTGCCCATTTTCGTGCGCAATCTGGGCGTCAATTAGAGAGACATTACTGTACGTTGTACCTCGAATATTACCAAAAGTGTGTACGACAAAAGAATAATGCAAAATAGCCTCTTCATTTCTAGCGAAAGAAATACCGAAGAATACAACCCTACGGCGACTCGTCAACCCTTTTAGACTCGTCATCCACAACTTAGGTAAGCCAAGTGCGCGACGAGTCTCGGTCATGAAATGTACCCAAAGGGTTAACAAATGAAAAGAGAATGAAGCTACTTGAAGGAGCCAGATCAAAAGGGCCGGCCGCGGATAATAACAGTGCTCGCTCACCTTATTGATGACTTTGGTACCGCCGAAACGGTGAACGAATTCCTCGGGTGTGGCAATAGTGAAGTCCTTCTCATGCAGCCTACTCTGGGTCTGGATCATCACCGTGCCCTGCGACATGCTGGGCCTACGAAATCAAACGAACGCGGCTTATTCATCGCTGTGCGCCTCGTATATTTGCTAGCAATGTAAATAATAAATTGACACGTCGTCCTGAACCGCTCGTCGAATTCAAGGAACATCCTCCGTACACATTCGGCGGTATCGTCACCGAATCGTCATGGTCCAAAGTTCCGTCAACTCGTTAAACCCCGCTCTGTATTCTTACCTGACCAATAACACGTCGCAGTTCACAGATCCGTTCAAATTACAATGGGACTGCGTTCTTACCTCGGCCATACGATTTTACTAGAGGCAAATATCGTCGTAATTCTTCTAAAAGCTTTTCCACCTCGTCAAACATCATAACGAGGCGTATTTGTTTCTGTTACGACAGGTGGTTTGTTATCCTTCGTTCACTTCGTGCTCGAAATCGAAGGCATCGTTGCACACCGTTCGATTCATTTGAGCGTTGTTTAAATTGATTTCACGAGGGTTCGTTGTATTATTATGGAATTTTTAATACGACGAATGGAAGAAATAGTAGATATTAACAAAAAAAATAATACAAAGTAGAAAGTACAAAAATAGAAAGTACAGAAATAAAATAGAAATACGAAAATAAAATAACAAATAGAGAAATAAATTAAAAATGCGAAAATAAAATAGAAAATACAGAAATAAATTAAAAATGCGAAAATAAAACAGAAAATACAGAAATAAAATAAAAATACGAAAATACAGAAATAAAATAAAAATACGAAAATACAGAAATAAAATAAAAATACGAAAATACAGAAATAAAATAAAAATACAAAATTAAAAGATCATAAAAAGATAAAATTAATGTTTTCGTTGACACAATACAAATTTTAATCTCGATGCTCCGTGAGATCGTAGAAGAAGAAAAAGAAGAAGGAAGACGGAATCTAGGTGCGCGCGCGCGCGCTCGTCTGGAGGGGAAATGGGAGCAACCGTTTCCCTCGATTTTTCAAGGTAATTTCTGTCATCCATTAGTGGGCTACACGTGAATGACAGCGGAGAAAGTTCTACGAACCGTTAATTTAAGCTGCTCACGCAACGCCATTCCTAACAACACCCGTGACGCTTTCTGAGCCCTCTACGTCCGCCTCGAATGTTTACGCGTCATTATTCCACGGATTCTTTTTTCGAAGCCGATGCACTTTGTACGCGACGCGACGGTGTATTGTTCATCGATCGTCTCGTTTCGACAAGTTCCCCTGCCCAACACAACAACGGACAAACGATCGACTTTCAATTGTAAATCGCGCTTCTTCGCGAAATGCACCCGGTAATTCATCGAAGCGAGAACGTTTACTATGAAAATTACGACGAGAACTCTTTCACGAAGAGCATTCCTTTTTTTATGCCGTTTCTTGCTTCATCTAATACGCGTCCGCTTGCGTCAAACTGTTTCCAAGTATTCAATGTTTTTCCATTTCGTCTCGGATGTTAACACGGTTTTACTTAAATTAATAATCGCCACGAATTATTGTTCTATTCACATTTTTCAGATCAGTCGAGACGCAATTTTTGCTTCCGGTTCGTAATTAAAGGGGCGGCTGCAATCGTGCACACCACAGCAAGTCACGTATCGTATTTTTAATTTTTTTAAAGGCACACACACACAGACACATACAGAATAGTCATTAATCGCTAGTATATATGTGAACCAGAATATGTGTAAAAAAGCGTCAAGGTTTCGTTGGCGAGAAATCCGAAAAGAAATATCGTTTCACACCCCCTTAAATAGACGCTATTTCTCGTAGGAAATTATTATATTATTTTACATGTCTCACAAGCGACATTTTAGGGTAAAATTTCAGATTCATTATCGGATAATAAATTAGCATAATTGATGTCCGATATATTGGTCGGGCATGATAATAATAATAAAACAAACGTTCAAATATTATCTACCGAAGAAGAAGAAGAGACAAATTGTTTTAGTAAGCCAACCTCCGCCGAGAGAATAGAAAAATATATTACGTTAATCCAGTGGTCGAGTGTTGTTTCTCACTACTCGACTGCATTGTCTCCATCGGGGACAGCTGTTCCTTGGTGGCCGTTTCCGCGTGCATTTTCGATGCACCGACGCCAGCCATCAGATTGTCCGAGGACTTCCAAATCGGATCTTTCTCTGTGCTATGAGCCAACACGAATCTTTTCATGCGTTTCATTCCGCAGCTCCCTTCCGCGCCGTCTCCGGAACCAAAGATGTCAAGGATCCCCTAGATCAGCGACGATCTTCTCTCTCTCTCTTCCTCTCTTCAGAAGAAAAATTGAGCACCGCGGACAGTAAAATTTGCAATAAGCTACGAAGCTTATTATCCCCAAATTATTTATTAGCCGTTTCGTTTCGCGTTCACAGGACGACACTGCGTTCAATTTCGCGCGATAAACGCGACGATGCGGTTTGCTCGCCGCTGCTCCCAAGATCGATCATCCTCCGACACGCCGATCCAGATCCAGCAATCACCGTTCGCCCCGGGAAAACCGAATTCCTTCGTTTTTTTTTCTCTATCGAGAGCACGCGCGCGGCACCGGCTTTCTCAAGGAACACGCTCGCTGCTCGGCCTCGGACTTTCCATGCACGAATGTCTTATTTCCCTGCGACGCGCGCCGAGTTTCCTGTTCCGTCGTGCGCGTAGAAGGAAGTCCAAGGATCACCTTTTTCTCGTCCTTTCGCTCAATTATCTACGCACAGCCGAGAGCTCCCGTATAGTAGCTCGAGCGAGGGAAAAAAAAGAATGTTCGACGCTGACACCGACACGGTCAAATCCACCGGTTCTTTGGATTAGAACTTCGCAATTTTTTGGAGACCATCTCGTGGCAGACATGCTCGAAGATGTTACGTTGTCGCAGATGATTTTGCGATGAATGTAAGGCGAAATTAATTCGAAGTTATCGCACTTTTTCGCGGCGATGCACCGGTGGTGCTCGATTTAGCGTTTAGGAGACGGTTTTTAGTATAGTCGACAGTACTTACTGCAGTCGACAGTGTTTATTATAGTTGTCAGTGTTTATTATATTATTATATTGTCAGTGTCAGAGTTTATTATAGTCGACAATATTTATTATAGTCAACAGTGTTTATTGTAGTCAATACTGTTTAGTCCACAGTGTTTAATCAACAGTGTTTAGTTCACAGTGTTTAATTGACACTGTTTAGTCCACAGTATTTGGTCCACAGTATTTAGTCCACACTGTTTAAACGACACTGTTTAGTCCACAGTCTTTAATCGACAGTGTTTAGTCCACAGTGTTTAATCGACAATGTATAATTGACACTGTTTAGTCCACAATATTTGGTCCACAGTGTTTAGTCCACACTGTTCAGTCGACACTGTTTAGTCCACAGTGTTCAGTCGACACTCTTTAATCAAAACTGTTTAGTCCACAGTCTTCAATCGACAGCGTTTAGTCCACAGTGTTTAATCCACAATGTATAATTGACACTGTTTAGTCCACAGTATTTGGTCCACACTGTTCAGTCGACACTGTTTAGTCCACAGTGTTCAGTCGACACTCTTTAATCAAAACTGTTTAGTCCACAGTCTTCAATCGACAGCGTTTAGTCCACAGTGTTTAATCCACAATGTATAATTGACACTGTTTAGTCCACAGTATTTGGTCCACACTGTTCAGTCGACACTGTTTAGTCCACAGTGTTCAGTCGACACTCTTTAATCGAAACTGTTTAGTCAACAGTCTTCAATCGACATCGTTTAGTCTCACATCGTTTAATCGCTCTTACAAGCCGGCACACACGAAGACCATCCGGTCCCGGGTTTCTCTCGGTGCAAATTTTCGTACACACTAAACACCAGAGCACACTAAGCATTCCGTCGCGGCGCGCGTTCTTCGCAGGACACTTAAAACGCGAATTCCTCGCGCGTTTCGCTATGTTTCTTGCGCACAGATTCGGTGGAACGCGGTCGGCTTGCGTCAACCCGCGCCGTTCATCCTGAACAGCATCGTCATGCCCCCCGAGCGAGCGAACTTCCGGGAACCTAGAAGTACTTTTTCCTGTAGGTACACTCGTCGCATACCGAGCCGCGTTCGCCTCGGTACGCGTTCGACGCACAACTCTTTGCCTCGATAATTAATTTTTGGAGAATTAATTAGCGCCGATTGCGAGATAAAAATCGTCCAAGTTGAACAGAGGAATATGCGAGTCAGACAGGATTCTGACTAACTATTCTCCGCGGACAATTCGAACAATTTGTACATAACGTTCAAAATATTCTCAAATTCTTCTCGCGCGATTAGAATTTCGTTTTCTGCCGGGACATTTTTGCGAAGAACGCGTCGAACCCGAGGTCCACCGATAATAATCGCGTCGATAAGCTGACAATAATAATCGCGTCGATGCGAGAGATGTGTCAATTGTGCAGGCGCACCGCAACAGCTATAGTAATCTTGTGGTTAATTATTATAAATAGACCGCGGAGTTTATGCAATGCAGTTCCGAACTGCACGAAAAATCCTGCTATCAAGGAACAAAATTGAAAGCATCGCACAGCAATTAAATATAACACTTAATACTCTTCACATAGCAATTAACGCAGACAATTTTGATTCGCAATCTACCGATCACGAGCGATTCGTAAGTATCGCAGAGGATCTTCGACGCGCAGCTCCGAGAAATAAAACGATCTCCAAACAATTGTCGATCACAGAAAGTCATCGTGGCTGCTCGAACCTGAACGATCGAGCGTTCTCAAGCCGAATATCCACCGATCGCGTTTATTTTTTCGAAGGATCGAACCGCCGTGCGATTTAGAAACTCGACGACTTTTTAACAGAGTTTCTCCTCGTTCGACGGAGATCCGACCTCGTCGTTCAGCTATCGCGTTCCATTCTTCGGAAATTTATGCAGAAAAACGAATCAGCCATGAACGTTCCGCGGCCCGCGAGAGCGAACTGTGTCGAATCGAAGGAACCGGAACACCCGTTCGTTTGGTGGAAACCTTTCAGCCGACGACTACGAACCCGTCGACGTAA